AATGGTGTAGTGCATCTATAGTAAACTCTGTATGTCATGAAACATCATGCCTGTTGCTGCTGCACGGATGGAATATACGGCACATCTGCATCAGTTCTGGTCATGTGGTGAGGAAAAAGCTGATGTGTACTTCCCCTTTATAGTATTGGAATGAAAAATGCAATCTGTTCAAAAAGCTTGGACGCTAATTTAGTTGTTTTATCTGAAAATACATGAGCTGGTACAAAATCACGCCTTTCAATTTTTGTTTGCTTTCTGTATGGGAGCTGTGGATAGCTTGTAGCAAATAGAAGAAACTTTGTTGGAAGCAAAATAAATTAGCATATATGCTCTGCTTTCTGAATTCAGGGTTAGATCCAAGTCCCACCAATATTTTATCACAAAAGGGTCAACCACGTGGAACTCCTGTAAACCTCCTGATCATCTTTCTTGTAATAGCAGATTGGTTTGCACTTTGCAGTAGGCTGGTTCTCTTTTAACACTAGCGGTAGTTCTATAGTGTTAGATCACAAAGCTAATTTTTCAGAGTAACCTCTTTTGCACAGTTGCTAAAATGCCAGCACCTATCAGTTAAACAGCAGTGACAGACAACAAAAATTATTAATTAGTATTTCCTAAATGTTTATGAAGAAATAAGATTATATTAAAAAATTAAATTGAATAGACAATGAAACTGAGTTTACCCTTTGTCTTTCAGCAAAGTAATCAAGCTAATAGTTTGTGGATCTGTGGCAAGATTATCTGATTGTTTCCCCTGTTCCCATATTTTTAGAATGGCAGAAAGCCCTCTTTTCTCCCACACATATACAGTCATGATCTGCAAAGTCTGTGTATGTTTTTAGTATGTTTTTACAAGTCAGTTTGCTATTTGCAAGGATATTTTGTTTCTTACTGATGTTTATGGTGTTTAATTTATGGTGGTATTAATTATATGCAGTCCATTAAAAATTATCCTCATGAGACAGCTCAGAGACCATATATTGCACTTCTTTCCAGGGTCTTTTGTAAGAGGTTATGTTTATCATCCTGTGGCTCTGTCTTCAAAGCGCAGCCTTTTGTCCCCAGGTGACTGAAGTGTAGAGAAGCAATAGTAGCTGCTTCTCAGTGTGGCACTGTTGATGCTGTTGAATTTCACCTGGGACCTGCTGCTTCAAGCAACATTCTTGTGCAGTGTGATTTTGTCTCTGTTGTGGTGTTTTGTTTTGTTTTTTTTCCTGGAAGTTGACTTGCAGTACTGTGTGACGTATATAATTATAACATGCTTTGGAATACCTTCATGGTAAGGTTTTCTACAGAAATTATTCAGATTTGTCCGTTTATGTGAAATTGCTTTTCATAGAATGATTATTTGCCACTGAATTAGCTCGCATTATATACCTTCTTTCTGGGGTCTGTTAACATAAGGTTTGCATAAATCTGCTCTCACATTAAACAAGTGTTGAAAATTTGAGTATCACAGTAGCTCTAGTAAAATCTGAGTTGGCTTGAATAAAATGCCACTGAATTGTTTGATATCTTCTGCATTTTATCCCTTTTTTAGCTGCAAGCCTTTGTATCAGAAGGCAAAGATCTGAAGGGTTGATGCATCATCAGCCAGGCCTTTTTTCCCCCTTCCTTCTGTAAAAGCTGCATTAAATTCGAAAGTCTTGCTGACTTGTGTATTACTTGCTATAACCTTAGGAAGCAAATTTGTGTGATGGCAGGTGTTTGTATGTAGGGGATTCTAATTTTAACTGGCTCTAAATGAGGAGAGCTTGTCCCAGTTTTTCTTGAAAGTGCTTTTGGGAATAAATGAATGCTTGAGTTTAAGACTTTTGTTATAAACTTAAGCCTCACTACTAATTTTTTCGTGTTAAATTGTGAGATGGATATGATTCTTCAGTATAATGTGTATATATCTTTTTGTTGATTTGTAATGCTGTCTTGGCTAATTAAATTGGAATAATGTGCTAATACACTGAAGTTATAAGCCTTACTTGCAATTTTAAGTCATAGTTTGTATAATTTTTGATTACTAAAATATTGTTTCCTTTTCAACTTAAAAGGCATTGCAAAGCACACCAGAAACTAGTGCAGTTTTGTGAAGTAATGTTAATGAGAAAAGGAATGAAAAAAAAAAATTTTTCTAACTCAGAATTTTTAAGGCAAAGTTCAGTTTTGTAGTCTTTCTGCTGCTTTGTACTGAGCCTGTGGTTACACAGCATTTTTTGTACACAACAGTGCAAGAGTTAGCCAGCTTTCAGTCCACCTCTGTCTTCTTAAATCTTTTAATGGAAAACTTCTTTTTCACCAGAGCTGATGATAGGGTAAGCGTTGAGTTTAAATTGCTTGGTTGGTAGCTTTTACTTAGCCAGCCCTTTCTTCCTCAGCAGTTCTTGAGGAATATCTCTGTCTCTATCTCTGTCGCCCTCTATCTTCTGAGCAGTTTTTGACCATAGCTCTTTTCTGATCTATATTATGAAGTATTCATTTTTTTTTTCCTACATTTTTGATGCATTTTCACATGATACAACTTTTTAAAAGCAACTGTGTATGCTCTGGTATATAATTTTCTGTTTGGTTGGTTTTTTTGTTTAAAATTAAGAGCAAATGCTTGCCCAGTGTATTGTAGCTTTAAACAAACTGTTCCAGCTTATCCATTGTTTTAGAGTGAGTGCTGGTTGATAAAGATAGAAAGTTTTCATGGTAGTTAAAAGGTAGTATACCATAGTTAAGTTTTACAAAGAATTGTTAATGTTACAAAATATTTAGAGCTTCAGTCATGTTAGCTAAAAGATGTTTTGGTGTTTGGTCTTATGTTAGAGTTTAAAGATGCTTTATGAAACTTCTTTATCTCTCCATGCATTTGTTGCCAGCATATTCTGGATTTGCTGAAGCCAGATGTACAGGGAAATAATAGGTGGCATGTGCAGCGGTTGAGTTAGTGTGTCTTTGGATATATCACTCAAGGAGAAGTTTGAGTTTGTAGTTATTACTCTCATATACTGCTAATTGAGTAACATATTCCAGATGTTTTTTAAATAACCGAATTTAGGTTAAATTAAGCTTAGGTTTGTGACTGCATTCTCTGTTCTCTCAGAAAACAAGTTGAACAGTTATTTACAAACTGTTACACTGCTATATGTTGATGATTGTTTCCCAGTAATCATCATCACTTGGCATTTTCTTGAATAACAAATAACCTTAAAATAAGAACTGTTACTCATTTCCTTGTGACTTTAGAAGCTAGTCAAGTCAATTACTCTAGCAAAATACAAACAACCTACAAAATAAGAGCAGGAAGATGGAATTACCTTTCTTGCACTGGTGGAGGAGGTTGATAGTGGTGATCAGGTGCAGGATGACATCCTTCTTGAGCAGGGACTGGTGCTGGAAATCTGAGGTCAGCTTGGAACGATTTGATTAAATGCACAGTATATCCACTTAGGACATAATTTCCCTATTAGCAGTGAGGGATGCCCAAATTTGTTTTCCTTGTTTTAATGAAGATTTGTTGGTAAAATCCAAGAATCATGATGATATGAAGTTTGATAAGGCTTAATACTTGCTACCTAGAGCAAAAAAATAAAGGGAGATAAAGCAACTGGAATAAAGGTGGCATGAAAACTGAAGTCTTGTACCAACCATTGAAACTGTTTTAAACTCTGTTCGCTGAGTTTCTGAATGTCAGCAAGCTCTTGAAACTCCTGTGTTTTAACAGTTTCTCTTGCAGTAAAATTTTACACCCAAACAAAATTAATTCAACAAAAGGGAGTCTTAAATAGCTTGTCTGGTTTAAAAAGTCTGGAACTTGATGACAGTAAACTTCCTGAAGCTACTTTAGCAAGGTTCCAGCACATATGGGTGACTTAGATAAACATTTTTAGCCCATTTATCAATGTTCCATGGAAGAGCAGAAAGCATTTTCTTTATTTGCAAATTAAGCTATTAAATAAGACATGGGGTTTAAGTGACTTGCAAAGGTATTCAAGAGTCTCTGACAAAGAGTAAACTGAATCTCGTGGTATGTAGTGCACTGTTTGCAAGGCCATCTTTTCATCCTACAGATACTACTTTGTCCCGTGCTGAATTTAATTTACAACATTGGTAGCCAACACTGAAAAAACCCACTATACAGAAAGAACTCATATGTAAAGTATTTTTTTGTCAATATGTTCCAGGAAGAAAGAATGTAACTTCCCAACACAATTTGGCTGGAACAGCAAGACTGTATTCCTTTTTCATTGTGAAAAACTTCATGTGGTCTTGAATGTTTTTGTTTCACAGTGGTCTGTAGTCCATTGACGTTGATTTGGTTAAAATGGCTTGTATAAAAGGTGGTATATTGCTGGCTATGGATGGGTTTCATATCAAGGATCTGAGCCCCAAAACACTACAAAGTAAAATGGTATCAACTTTTAGCCTGCAAAAATACTCCAAGATCATCTGGCCTTGGTATCTGATGTAAAATCCCATAGGGTGAGATGGCTGCAAATATTATAGTTGTATCTTTAGAATAATCAAGACAGCCTTTGCATATATGTTTAATATTCAGGAAGCAAATTAATTGCAGATCACGCCTTAGAAGATCCATTGTCATGGTGAATAGAGTGCAGTAGTAGACTACGTGCAAAATACATGAGAACTACTTTTTGGCTCAGCCATGAGCTTTAAGTAGTGAACTATTTGCTAAAACTTTGCACAGTGTTTTTCTGTTACTGTTCCTGTTGGTTCAGCTACTCTAGTGTGTAAGTTAACAAAAAGAGGCCACTTGGGTTTTCCATTCCAAGATTTAACAACTAACTCTCATGATTGTGGCTCAGAATTCCAAATTGGAAAGAACATGATTACAAATGAAAAATCTTACATGATCTTACTATTTCTTTTGTATTCTTCTATTGTGTTTTCATTTATATTATTGCAAATTTTCTGGATTTAAAAATAAACATTTTATTATTTCTGATAGCTTATAATTTCCTTTAAAAATACTGATATATATTTCTTTCTTACCAGTTATAACGTCTTGTAATGGAAGATGGAAGACAAAGGGGCTCGTGTTGCTGACTACTTTGTTGTCGCAGGATTAACAGATATTTCAAAACCACTAGAGGAAGAAATCCACTTCAATGATGCTTGCCATAAAATCGCTAAACCAAAAGAACCTGTTACAGATGTAACAGTAATTAATAAATCTCTAGGGGAGGAAGTTCCTCAGGGATATAAATGCATAGATGTTACTCCCTCAGGACTGTCTGCAGATCTTAATAATGGCAGTCTTGTAGGACCGCAAATATACCTTTGTTATCGCCGAGGAAGGGATAAGCCCCCACTTACTGATTTGGGGTGAGTGGTTTTTCTGTTCCAGTAAGTGATTTTTTTTTGGCAGTTTTATTTGACTAATGAGGGTTAGTCAAATACCATACTTTTTAAATAAAAGGCAAAACTCTAAACAGGGAGATATTTCTTGACTTCAGCATACTGTAACCCAGTATGGTAGAAAAACGCATGTTGAATAGATTTTGGTGACAAGTGTAATCCTGTGCACTTTGGAGTTTTCAAAGCCATTTATAATTTTCAATGTATGTATTTTTGTTGAGATAAGATGCTTAACCTATTTCATACAGATTGAAAAGAGGTGAGTTGTATGATGTTCTTAGGATCAGGCAATGAATCTTTAATAGAATCGAAAATAACACTATTTTGCAGTAAACAAAACACTTCAAAGCAATTATACATGAGGAAAACTAGTATAGTTGCATCACGAAGCTTTTCTGTTGGAATGCAATTTGATATAATGTGACCTGAACTTGTCAGTAAAAATGTTTTGATTGGAGATGAGACAAGAGCTGCTGTTAAACTAGTACTATTCAGTTATAATTATTAGTATAGTATTAGCATTCAAAGTGTTAAAAAAAATTATGTGCCTTCTGACTTTTGTTCATCCCATTTTAACTAGGGTTTTATATGATGGGAAAGAAAGAGTAAAGCAAGGTTGTGAAATAATTCAAACTACTCCATATGGTCGGCCTGCTAATATCAGTGGCAACGCCTCATCACAAAGAGTGTACATCACTTACCGAAGAGCATCTGAAAACATGACACAAAACACGTTGGCTGTTACGGATATATGTATAATCATACCAAGTAAAGGAGAAACCCCTCCACATACATTCTGCAAGGTTGACAAGAACCTTAATAATAGTATGGTAAGATTCAAAATCTGGATTTTGAACACTTGATATTCAATGATGTAATATTTGTGGAGTATTTTTGATGGTTCTTAGAGTACCTGGTGAAAAATTTTGATAAGCACTCTCCAAAGATAAATCAAATCTTGGAAGAGTTGGAGGATTACATTTCTTTGTTCCTGTTTGTAACAATGTCTTTTTGGAAGCCTTGGAGCAAATAATCTTTTTAGTGTTGGCTTCAGCAGCTTTGGATTAGTCCTTAGAACCTGTTGTGTCACTGTGTGTATAACGGGAAGTTTCACAGACGTGGCTGTTTCTGACACTGATTTGACTCTTGTGATGGGAATTCTCTATCTAACAACTGCCTTCTGTTTTGTTTTTAAACTCCCCTATTACCTACAGTGCTATTTTATAAGTGTTATTCTCCTCAGTAGTTTCACAAACTTCTTCTCTGAAGGAAGTTACATGTAAGTGATGTTGGATGCTGTTGACTGTAAGCCTGTTTAAATGCTTAATGGTTCCAAAGCTACACCTGCTAAAATACATGGGTGTCACAGCACTTTGTTTTGTAGAACTTAATATTTAGGTGTCTCCTAGTTGAATCTGCAGCCTTATATGCTGGCTTTTGTAGGGTCCTCAAAAGTCAGCATGCTGACTGCATATGTAAGTAGTATCATGAAAAAAAATCATGGAAATTGATCTGTACCTGGTTTTAAATAAATGCCTGTAGACATTAACAAATGGATTTTTCAGTTCTATGAGTCCCTGTATTGACTTGGTTATGGGAGTGCTGTTTCTTTCTCCCATCTCTAAAAGCCTTGTGTGCCCTTAAAGGGTGCCGGTCTTGTCATCAATTCTGTGGCTTTCCATGTTCTTTATTCTCATGTCCAGAAATTGAGAACTTAAAAAATATTTAAAACCATTAACAATGCCAGAAAGGGAATTGTTGTTTAGAAGCTGCAAAAACTATGACGTTATGCTGCAGTGTTTCACAGACTATGAAATTACAGATGGAATAAGGAATTGGGCTTAAAGATTAGCATGATGAAAATAAAAATGCAGGCACAAAAGAAAATTGTTAAGTATTAAAGTAATACACAAATGTAGTTAATAACAGAAACATTGCGCTCTGTGTGTGTACATGCATATATTTATGTATATATGTATGTATATCTGTCTATATACCTGTCTATGTACACATTTAAGTGAGAAGTTTAACAAAATGGAGAAAGGTTGAAATAGTTACATGGATGACAATTGTACTTAAAATTCTGTAGCTGTGTTAACGAATGTTTTAGAGAAGAATTTGTAGATGTCATGCTTCAGTCTATAAACCAGTTCTGTTTTAGAGGTCAGGCTGACGCCTGCCATGGATTGGTTAGCTCAGAGCTGACACAGTACTTTTCTTTCAGTTATCTGTTTGTGGCTGCTGTAGCAGGTCCCAAATTCCTATGTCTTAATGCTCTATGGTTTTGTGTGTAGATTATGGCTCTTTGTAAACAAGGAAGAGGAGGTTTTTCCTCCACTCTTTTCTGTTATGTCCTTTTGTTATACTTCATCATGTAATCCAATAATTTCTTTTGTTTTACAGTGGGGCTCAGCAGTGTATTTATGTTATAAAAAGTCTGTGGCAAAAACCAACACCATATCATATAAAGCTGGTATGTAACTACTACTTAGCTTTTTTTATCTTCAATTCAGGATGTACAGGCTGCTTTGTCAAATAATTCTTCAATTAAAAAATGTATTACATTACAAAGACACTGTCTTGGCATTATCCAAAAAGGACCCTTTCCCTGAAGAATTCTTTTAAAATAATGTCCTAAAATGAGCCTTAGAATTACGTATCATGACTATTTTGTTTTAAAATTTGCTTTTAACTGGAAGCTCAGTTGTGTCTTGATAGGTTTCTACAAACCTGTGTGTCTCCTACCTCTGTTTTTGTTGCTGATAACTGTCTCTTAAGGATGTGTGTGTATATCTGCAGAAGAAAATACTGCAAAAATTATTTGATGGACTTTCATGAGCACTTCTTTAAGAAATGTTTTGAAGAATACTGCAGACTTCTACACTGCCCTGAACATCAGTGGCTTTGAGCTCTTTAAGTATTTTTGGGTTGTGTATCATCTTTATTTTGTTGGTTTTGTTTATAAGACAATTGGATTTGCTGTGGCTCTGATGAAATGTGTTGGGTTTTCTTTTTTTAAACCCCTGATTTTGTTTGAGTGCAAATCATGAGCATGATTCAGCCTTAAGCTTTAATTCGCTTATATCCCTTTGAGATGCTGCTCTCAGTCCTAAACTACTGTTGTTTACAAACTAAAAGGTGGACAATATTTGTAAATAAGTAAAAATTTTAAAAGGCCCCACATCTGGTGGTAGCTTGCACAAAATTTTGCTTCTTGGGGGGGGGGGGGGGAACATACTGCCTTTCTTGATTGCCAGTTTTTATTGCTTATTAATATTTAACTATATTAGAAAAGAATGTGTAGTAATTGTGTTCTCTAATGCAGAGAATTCCTAAATCCCTTCACGCAATATTCATTCTCAGTTTGGAGTCCCCTGGGCTGGCCATAAGAAAGGATAGATTGCTACAGCTGTATGATGTAATTGAAGTCCTGTATGTTAAGAGCCTCTGCTTCAGAACTTCATGTTTTACAGCTATGTTTAAAATTAAGTCTAAACACATTAGTCTGATAGCACATTAGCTGAATCCTCAGCTGAGGTGGGTCAGCATAATTAATTGGTTCGATTCTATTGATATTAAAAAAAAAAAAATCTAATATCAAACATACCAGATTTTTCAGGACACTTGTTGGCAAAAATTAATTGCTTTCACAATTGAAAACATCAGTCTTATTTCTCAATTATTCAGGTTACCATTTTTTCAACTAAATTTTAAGTCTTTACCCATACTAGTGATGAATGTGAGCAATTATAATAGCTTAGATGCACACAACCCGCAAACAGAAAAAGATAAATTAATTACGAATAGTTCCTAGAATAGTAAGCAGGATTTCAGTCCAATATTTTAGTCAGGTGATTTCTCCTTAGGCCTTGGAAGCATGCTGCCGCTTTCCAGCTATTTGCTATGCCTGATTATTTACAACTTTTCTTTACTGATCTTCTGAAGTTAGTGTATGCTCATATACGATTTTTCTGGGCATGTTTTTATGGAATGAGCTATTACAAATATGCTTCTGCTATTCCTTACGTAACTGCCTCTTTACAAACTGCCTTTATAGGTTTAATATGCAGATATCCCGAAGAAGATTATGAATCATTCCCGTTACCAGAATCTGTGCCTCTCTTTTGTCTGCCTATGGGTGCAACGATTGAATGTTGGCCATCTAACAGTAAATACCCTCTCCCGGTTTTTTCTACGTTTGTACTAACTGGAGCTTCTGCAGAAAAGGTATTTTGAAAGCTTAAAAAAAAAAAATTGTTAACAATTAAAGTTAAAAAATTTGGTTGTTTATCACTTCAGGATGATGATAATGCATATTTTCATAGGCAGACTTGAATCTGTTCATTTGGGCTTAATTCAAAGACTGCTTTAAAGAGTGACTTGCATTTATTTCACTGCTGGACTGTTGATCATATAAACATGTACTCCTTTTGCTTTGCAATCATGTTAGCCTTTGAAACTACAGAGCTATAAAAATTCTGACTGGATATATGTGCAAGTATACTATTTTTACTGCAAGCATGGAAACAACCTTGCATGTATATACTTGTTCTAAAAAGTAAATTGGCTGTCAGAGGAACACTGCTTTGAGTTGCTTACAAAGGGTTCCTAAAATAGCTTTAAAGGCAATTGTAGGAGCAGTTGACTGCAGTTGGACTCTATATAATCATTATTTTTCTCTCACTTAAATGGTTTCATAAATTACTTTTTCTCATATGACATTAAGTGTTTTAAATAAATAATAGACAGTCTGGATTTTCACAGCCATAAGAATATTCCAGAATACATTACTTCAAAAGATGGTGCATTAATGTAACTTTTCAAACAGTAACATAGACTTGATTTTCCTTGCGTGTTTGGGGTTTGTTAGATTGCTTTGAAGACCGAGGCAGATTTATTGACTTCAAATCAACTGTGTTGTGTGCAGGTATATGGTGCTGCTATTCAGTTTTATGAACTGTATCCTGAAGAGAATCTCACAGAGAAACAAAAATCTCAACTGGGATTAGCAGCTGCTGTTGAGGGAAAGTCAGACACATGCAGAACAGTTCAAACAAATAAATGCATCTGTCTGCTCTCTCATTGGCCTTTCTTTGATGCTTTCAAGAAGTTCCTTACCTTTCTGTATCGTTACTCCATTTCTGGTCCACATGTCCTACCCATTGAGAAGTAAGTAATTTTGAAAATCCGTAACAGTAATTTCAGTTGATGAGAGCTCTTTTTTTACTTCTATGTTTTCTATAATATCCTTTTGACTTTAGTCATCAAACATTAAATATAATGGTTACACTAGATTAAGCACTTTTCTCCATTGATTAGATGTATCTTTACTTCCTGAAAAAGCCTAGGGTTTTTATTTGTGATTTAAGTGCCTGCAAAGGTGTATCTGAAAGCCTTTTTTAATTAGCTTTGTACCCTTTAGCACAGTGATTAGGAAGAGCAAGGTTATAAATCCTTTCTTAACGTTGCATCCATTAAGTTAGGAGAATGAAATATGTAGTTTTGCATTTTTTTCAAATGCCTATTTGTTGTGTAATGAGAGATAATAAAGCAGATTGAATTTTTTGCACTAAAAATCCTTCTCTATTTGTCATAAATAAACTTAATTTCCTTCTTACATAAAGGATTTCACATTTTAAAAAGCAGAGGAAATCCTTATATCCACGAAGTGGTTGATATCTGTAATTGATATGTAATACCATTTAACATTTCTAGGTTGATATAAGTTTTTAATGCGTCAGATTTCAAATGTGGTATTTGCTTTTTTATTTTATAACACATTAGTCTTTTTCTGATTAAACATCAATATTAAGTTTTATGAGACTGACTTTGTGTATTAAGCATTTTTTGTGACTGTTTATCCACTTCATTATTCCACTTTGTATCTACTATACTTGTTTTAAAATTCTGATGGTGTAAACTTCACATAATGAAAATTTTTTTTTTTTTTTTTAACCGAGAACTGTTTTTGAGTTTTGGGAATTAATACAATGAGAAGTAAATAAATATTTTATTAATTTTGATTTTACAGATTTATTTGCTTATTCTGATGATTTGTAAACTGACTGGTCAGTTTACTGTGGATAATATAGCAACACTGTTGTGCATGAAGTTATAGTATCTAGCCTAGTCTCTTCGGCTATTTTAATGATGTTGAAGGTTGTCTGTGCCATACATGTGTATTTGAACATTTTTCAGTCAGTCCTGCTTCTGTAAGCAGCAGGCCTTTCCCTTGATGTTTGCTGTATGTTCCATATTTCTGCCAGTATCTTCATACCCTAGTAATAAAGACAAAATCCCAAATTTGTTGTCAGCCTGACTCCTTTCCTGTTGTCATTGCCATGTGGCTGCACAGATGTTGATGCTGACACAAGGGAGATCAATTGAGGAGTGGCGAAGAGGAGGCACAAGACTGCTTCTGGTTAATGCCACTTATGTGATTGTAGAACAGCAACAAAAAGTTAAGCCTAGCACAAGTACACAAAACTAAAAACACAGTAAAAATGGAAATTTTTTTTGCATATTTCTAATGGCATAATATGCAGCTACATTGAAATATATGTGTGAAACATATAGCTTTGAATCAGAAATATGTAAAATGAGTCTTCAATATAAATCGATGCTTATTTGTAGGTTTCTCTGAATTTCTTCAAAATTTGGTTGTTGTCTGTGTCATAATAATGGTAAAAGTTGCAGAAGTCACAGTAAAGTATGTGCTGTAGCATGCAGTTTATGTTGGATTACCTGTTTCTTCCTGAGGTTCTACTGATTGCATCTAGTTTCTTTTAACGTGGAAGTGTGCATTATGTAGATGTCCTACACTTTTAGAACTTTTGTAAGTTTAATCAACTTATAAAACAGAACTAATTCAAATTTTAAAACCATTTTTCTGTATTTGTAGTAGATGGAAAAACTTTAACGCTTTTCTTCATCAGAAATCTTACATAACATTCTGTATTTGGAAGTGAAGAAAATGGATGTGAAGAAAACAGATGAACTTAATGACTCTCCCTGATACTCAGCTGTGAATATTTTTTTGCAAATAAGCAGTGCTAGTCTCTGAGGTACAGTGCTATTTCAAGCCAGCCTCAGAAGCATTGTAGAATGGTATTGTGATACTCAAACATCAATATTTCTACTTTAGAATCACAAAAAAAAAAAGAAAAAAAAAAAAAGAAAAAAGCTCCTTGTAACTTTTCAGTCTCACAAACCAAGCTTGTAGTCTGAAAGATAATCTGGCCTGCCGTTTTGGTTGTTGCTAGTAGAAAAATAGGTTTTCAAGGTCACAATATCCCTGTAGGATTTGGGGGCTAGGGGTTTTTTTTCTCTCTGTCTTCTGACTAACTATGTGCCATTTTTATATAATAATTTCTCTTACTGGCAATAATTTTGTCTTGAGGTAGAGCAGTTTAAGCTTATTTCTACTAAATCAGTATTTTTCTTTTCCTTTAGACACATTTCCCATTTCATGCATAAAGTTCCTTTTCCATCCCCTCAGAGGCCAAGAATTCTAGTTCAGGTAAGTGTAAATTTCTTCTTAATAGCTATGCCTTAAGTGAAGACAAAACAGCTGTTGAACAGGTGAGTAAATGGAAAATGTAATTTTTATGTTAAAATTTTTTTTTTGGTTCAGGATTTTTTTCCTAAATTTATACACTTAGTTTTTTCTCGCTGTTGTTTCCAGCTTAGTTAAGGACTTTAATGAGTCTGTTTAATGATACTGTTTAGTGAGCTTAGGACTTAGGGGGTTTTTTTCTGAGTATATGGAAATTAATGAAAAACTACTCGAAAGTCAGCATCTGGTTTGAGTTTTGCAATAGCTTTTGAACTGTTTTCTTCTTGCTACTGTATGAAGGCTGAGTGTAAAATAAATAAAATGAAAACCAGATGTGAAGAGTATATTCATGAGTACCTGTTTTCCCAAAGGGCTTCATGCTGTCCTCTACATAATGGATAGCTCTTACTGAAAACTGCAAGAGCCACGCACATTCAACAGAGGCACACTTTATCAACTGTGACCCTTATTCTGTCCTACCTGCAAGACCCAGCATATTTTACTGTGTGTTGAGTGAAATGGTATAATTGCTGGGATTAGGTTACCTGTTATTTGAAATTTCACCCATCTCACTGTTGGTAGGAGAGAGGAAATCCCTATCTCAAAGGCTTCTTAAGTGAAGTGTTAGTAAATCTTTGTATTTTTTTTCCTCCTAAGAAGCAAAATGGGTAGAGACATGTTAAAATTTTATTGCTGAGAAAGACATCTCTGTTCTGGTTGTAGTTATTCTACCAATCCTGTGGTTTTGAACAAGTTGTTACAAAATGATGTTACTCTCTGTTACTACTTGTATGAAATAAAACGTGGAGAGCCCTGTGCAGTTTTCAGTCTTAATGTATTAGCCCATATGCTAATGAAGTCTTTCAGAGTAAATACAATCTTGGGTTATGTCTTTATAGAATGTATTGAATATTAAAGATCCTCCTTAGTGTACTTGGATATTCGAAAGAGGTGACATTTATTACTGTCACTGAAAAGGGGTTGGCGAACAGTTATACTGAAACTGTATCTGCCACTTCTGTCACTTGTATTGTGATTTTTAAGTTCAATTAAAAACCTAGCATTTTTACATCTTGCAGGTCTTTTTGTATTCACATTCAATAAAATATTTGTGCTAGGGAACACTAAACACATGTTTACAGATGAGTTTAGAGAAAAACATTTAATTTTTTTAGTCTGAATTTTTAGGGAACTCTGTCAAGGTGTACATGGGTGTATATATCATGGGACAAAGTCTGAGGACCTAGATGTCAGTGGTATGAAATTATGTCTGTTACACCTTATTTTCAAAATGTGGTATGTCAGGTTAGTACAACTTTAGTAGCTGATAGTACACATGGAGAACATGCCGCTTTTAAAGTAGGCGTGGTAGTTGAAGTCTGTGAATAAGTACTTCCTTCAAGCTGCTTTCAGGGTCTTTTGAGTTGTGTTTTGATACTGCACTGAATAAAATCACAGGTGATTGTATCTAAGATGTTTTCCCAAAAATAGTGTAGGAAGTGCCTGTATTCTTGAAAATTACAAGCTTTTAGGATTTCATTTCATTGAAGAAATAGTAATTTTTCTCTGAACTTTGTTAATGTAGAACATGGTAGTCTTTAGCTAAGTAATTAGTATGGCAAATCATTCAATGTGTTGCTGTAGAATGTCTCCCACATGTCTATATGCTTTCTGAAAATGAGACCTGATATGTTTTAGTAACTGCAGGTATGCCAGTCTGGATGCGGATCCTTAGATCCTTCTTAGTATCTGTTACAAGTGAGAGAGAACATGGCATGTATCTGACTTTTAAGCTCAAAAGAAATTATAGCCATTAGTAAAATGCTCAGGAATGTTCCCGATTTGCCAGTTTCCAGCTGCCATAGGTTGTTTCTGATCTGAAATCTGCTAGGCTCTGTTCTCCATGTCCTACATTCCCTTATTACACAGATGTGCCTGTTCTAATGATGTATTCACAACCTGCAAACTTCAAGAGCACATCAAGTAGTATGTTTCTCCCTCTGAGGAATGGGGGCAGTAAGTGCCCCTTCTGCCTAAGGGAGACGTGCTCTTTGACTAGATGCTTGATTGTGTTTATCTGCTTTTGCTGAAACACAAAAGTTATAGGACATTAGGCTGACACTTCCTTTCTGAGGGTAGTTTATGAAGGTTACCTCAGGCTGAAAAAATGAGGTCTCTGAATTCTTTCACTGAACAAGCTAATGGTGGTGGTTGTCACAAGGTGACTTGCTTGAAGACAAATCTAGCATGTAGAGTGGTGTGGCCATCCTCGTTTGTCACTGAAGCTAAATGTAGCATCAGCCTTCAAAAGCTCTGTTGTGTGAAATACACAAGGAAGCAGTATTGCACAGACTGTTGTTAATGTCATATGTTTTGTGTGTCTGTCCAGGCACAGTGTTAGGTGACTTAGTGCTTCAGCATTTATATTACTAATTCATCTGATCTTCTGACTTCTATTGTCTGGTTATCTACAGTGGGGTCTAAGGTGAAACGTACTCAAAAATGACATGTTACTAAAAGTTGTCTGAACTTGCAGCTTAGTTGTACAAGTTACTGTGACTTACTGAATTACTACTACTTGTATGTGTGCTTTTATACAATAGATAGAAAAATGCAGGACCACTTAGCAGGGAGGATTAAGCTAACCGGTGTCTTGTTACCTTGGATTTACTATGGCTGAAAACGTCAGTTGTGCTTTGATAAATTGATTCATAGAATCGTAGAATGGTTTGGGTTGGAAGAGACCTTAAAGATCATCTAGTCCAACCCCCCTGCCATGGGCAGGGACACCTTCCACTAGACCAGGTTGCTCAAAGCCCTGTCCAACCTGGCCGTGCACACTTCCAGGGATGGGGCATCCACAGCTTCTCTGGGCAACCTGTTCCAGTGCCTCACCACTCTCATAGTGAAGAATTTCTTCCTTATATCTAATCTAAATCTACCCTCTTTCAGTTTAAAGCCATTACCCCTTGCCCTAGCATTGTCCTATGAATATGTATCTGTATTCTTGTACTCGTTTGAATCCTCTTATTCATGCTGAATATATGAATGATTTCTCTTGATGTCATATCACTGTAAGAAAGAAATGTGAATTAATAAGATCTTTGTCTTGGATCTTCAACTAATGCAAATTTTAAAGATTCTATCAAAGCTGAGCTGAGCCGTTTCTACCAGCTAAGAGCCTAATTCTCATGCCTTCTGAAGAAAATATTTCTTTACATTACGATCTGCCATCTCTCCCCTTCATGCATTTTATCCATGTTTTTCCTCCTAAATCCAAAAAGAATCCCCCCTGGCCCCTGAAAGCTGTACGAACTATGCATCCTCACTTCCCTTAAAACACAGAAGGCTTCATTTTTCAGCAGTTAATATATTCAATTTTTTTCAGTATTAGCTAGTTTAAATTCCTCTTTATGAATATGCAATGTATTCAATTCTGATCAAGAAAGGAAGATCGTGCTTTGCCTGGTTTTTACAAAAAGATACTGATGCATAGCATTGCGCGCCGCTTCTTACAGTGCTATACAGCTGGGATATGTAAAGTTCAGCTTAGTTTAAATTTTATTTCTAGGTGTTCTTTGTTATAGTTGTGTAATTTCTAATAAATATTTCCAAACTTCAGAATAAAAAGAACGTATTTTAAATTTTTTTCCAGCTATCTCCACATGATAACCTGATTCTTAGCCAACCTGTGTCATCACCCCTTCCACTGAGGCAAGTAGCAGTATCTTCTGTTTAATTGCGAAATGTATTCTGATTTACATTGCGGAAAAGATTTGGTACTTGGAGTTGTAATTGTGCAAATTAACTTACCTTGTCTGGTGCCTTTTGTAGCTAGTGTATCTGAAATTTATGTGACTAGACCTGCACCCTGACAAGGATACATTTTTCAAATAACTTCAGTGGTTCTTGAGACAGAATTTAGGTTGTTAGATCCACTTTCTAGGAGCTGGTACCTGGGCTCCCAAGATAGTGCAGCTTTTGTATTGCAAGGTAATTGAAGGAGTTCTGTGACTGTCTTAACTGTCGTGTCTCGGTGCAGGAGAATAATTAAAGAAATGTATGTTGTCTCCCTGTAAATCGCTTCTCAAAGAAAAATCATGCACGTGTCCTGAAAATACTCTAAACTGATTGAAGAGTCTGAAGGAATCATGGTTACTGTTGGGAAGTAACCATTCTTCACTGAACAGTACCGAGTAGTCTGCCTCACAATCATCTTTACAAGAAAGATTTGCAGATTTACATTTATAAAATCCTACTCTAATGCCTCTTTTTCTATTTTGTTACTGAACGTTTTTTTTTTACAGTCCCTTGTAACTCACCAGTGTGTTTATATTCTGTAACAGTGGGGGCAAGTTTTCTACACTACTTCAGAATTTAGGACCTGAAAATGCAGTAACTCTACTTGTATTTGCTGTGACGGAACATAAAATTCTCATCCATTCATTGCGACCTTCTGTCCTTACTAGTGTGACAGAGGCGTTAGTCTCTGTAAGTAATATTTTTTTTTTTTAATCATACACATATAAGTGGAAAAAAGAATGTTTTTTAGATAAAATCTAAAATTAGTAGTAGTGCTGTTAGGCTTAAAGGTAACTTAAAAATAAGAATGAAAATAAAGATCATTAGAGAGAAAAATTCATGTTGCTAATGATATCCCACAAAGACAGAAGAGGAAGAGTAACTGTTGTTGGTTCTTTGTGTGTAAATATTGTAACTAAGCATGTTGTTTGGTCATCACAATGCACTGAATATGAGTTTCTGATTTTCCCAAATAGCACTGTATTGTCTCTCACAGAATTTCAAATGCATGTTATTTTCCTGTCTGTCTTCACTAAGCATTGTTTTGCTACCTCTGCTATATGCAGTCTATTATACCAAAGAGGTTTTTTTGTTCAAATTAAACAAATTGAATTTTAGAGAAATGAGTGCATTTTTTAATCTAATAATCTGCATCTAGATTTTCAGCAATAAATATCTACCATGTTAAATAATTTTGAAGTGGCAGTGACGTGTGGTTTATACTTGCATAGGCTGTATTATCATGCCTGTTTAACCTATGTTTTTGTCTCTGCATATTTTCAAAGATGATATTTCCCTTCCACTGGCCTTGCCCATATATTCCTCTCTGTCCCTTGGCACTGGCAGATGTGTTAAGTGCGCCATGCCCGTTCATAGTGGGAATTGATTCAAGATACTTTGATCTCTATGACCCTCCACCAGATGTTAGCTGTGTTGACCTAGATACCAATACAATTTCTCAGTAAGTATTTATTAACAATTTTTCTTCTGTGATTTTTTTTTTCTTCCTGTTTTCAAAGGCAAAAACTATATTTTTGGCAAAACTTTAGGGGGTTTTTCTAATATATTATCCTTCTTGAAATGAGCATGGTAGAAATTCTATCTCCTGTTCAACATGGCAGAGTAGAGGTACAATCCTCATGGAACATTATTGCCTTCTATTCTATTACATTAAAATCTTATTGCACATGTTGGCACATTTCCTAGATTAACCATACTGTATCTCACTTCATTGTCTCTGGAGGAGAACAGTCATTTTTGTTTTTCATGATCAGCTTTCTTAGTGTTGAAGAAATTCCAGTATCTTCATATGGGCATCTGCTTGAAAACTATAACAAATCATACTCCATGTCAATATGAAGTATAGGAACTTCATGTTGAGAATGAGAGATTTGAACTTTCATGGGTGAGAGAGTCTTAATTAAGACATAGAATCATGCCATCATTAGCGAACTGAAATAACAGTATGATAATATTTCTCCTTCAGAACTGTGTAGAGTACTAAGTTTTTCTGCAATATTGATTATCTAGTATCTGAAATACTAGTAAGGGACAACAGTGCACTGTTAAAACCATTGGGAAAGAAATGTTATGATATTCAAACCAAATAATTATTTATTTCTTTGTGATGATGTGATACAAAAATAGACAGAAGAGAGTAAGGCTTCTACTTCCAAGATTCTAAACCACACAAAATTAAACTTGTATTTCAGAATTAAACTTTTATTTCAGTATAATGTTTAGTATACTCAGTGTATATTTAGTGTAACTTCTCAAAGTCTTTGGTCAGTGTTCTTTTATATCATCCTCCTGTTGGTAGCAGTCTTTCAGCATTACTTTGTCTAACTAAAAACTTTTTCTAAGTTTTCTTATTTGTAGGATTATTTTTGCTTCAGTAGTTGTGTGTGGATTTAGAGAAGGTTGCATATAAGTATCTGTAAATAGAAACTTTTGTTAAGGATTTTATGCTGATACCAAGTTTGTATAGCAATTCTGCTTTGAAGTTTTAGGAACTAGTTCAAACTAGCCTGTGATAGCTCTAGGTTTGGTTTTCTTACTTTTTGGGTAAGAGGAATGTGTTTGTGCATTTCTTCTGGTATTTGTCTAATTAGCTACATATTCATTAATGGAAAATAGTTTATTTCCAGTTATTTCTGTTTTCATTCTACTTTTTAGCTGATTATCTCTGCATTTTCTTAGAACAGATGAATTCTGTTTCATCGTATGGAAAAAAGCGTCGAACAAATCCTTACAGTTTTTGCAACTTTGATAGGATTTTCAGGCTTGCTGGTGCCCTCTGACAAAGAACGTTGTAATTTTTTTTCATCACGACAATGATATAGTTAAGTCCAAATCTATATGTACTAAACACAAAGCAGTTATATCAAAATTATTTTGGGTTACTACAAGCATTCTAGTCATTATGTCCATTCTAGATTAAGTAACTACAGCTCAGAATATAGATTGTGTGGTGGCTGCTTGTGCAATGGCAGGTGCCTAATACTATTAATCCATCTAATCATCATCCTGAAATACAGGGCATTGGTTGGATGGCTGTGATCAAATCTACATATAGCGAATCAAGTTTGACTTTGTTTTTCAATCCTTCTCAGTCCTGTTTTAATGGGGCAAATTGTATATGTTCTCCCATTTCTCTGGTGGGATAGAAAAATCCTCTGAATACAGTCCTATATACTCACATATTCTGTGTATACTCATAACTTTTTTTTTTCCTTCCAGAACTGGAGATAAGAAAGCTATTGCATGGAAGATCTTACCAAAGAAACCTTGTAAAAATCTGATGAACACTTTAAGTAACTTGTATCAGCAGCTGGCAGAATGTGAGTGGGAAAGTACATAATAAGATTTACATTGGATACAGTGTGCCACATTAACAGATAAATATAGCTAATTAAATAGGTTCTTAAGTCACTCGTTACATAATGTTTTCTTATCAAATGGGGAAATTTGTGCTTTAAGTCCAGAGATTAGAACCCATGTAGGGGCTTTTGGGGTGGAGGAGACTTCCATATGTATAAGGCGGTGCTCAACAGATAGCCCTTTGTATCGATGTTACCCTTGTACCAAAGAAAAAAAAGGCAGAGCTTCTATGAGAAGGGAATAGTAAAGCAAAGAGTAGGGCAGGACCTAATATTTGGTTTGTCTTCAAAGCCTGCTCAAGTCTGCTGATGTCTTGACAATTGAGATAACTTTGACACTCAAGCTGATAGCACTTAAAATTTTAAGATGGAAATAACAAATGTTTTAAAAACATTGGGTTTTTCAATATATAGCACAATTACTGGTCATGTCTAAGAAAAAATTGGTTGTTGACAGAATCCTCAAATATTGCAGAGCAAGGTTATATTGAACCTTGATGTGAGAAAGCAGAAAAATGGATAGGGATGGTGTTAGTGAAATTCTTTAAAACAAAACATTTGGAAATATAAATGTAGTCAAGGCCAGCTGATGTGCTTGGGTGTCGTAGCTAATAGGCTTCGTGAAGTGGGAAGGAAGTCCATCAGCACTCTCATATTACCTGTCTGCTTAGAAGGTGATTTCCATAGACAGTGGAGGGAGCCTGAAGGAGCAACAATTGTAAAATCAAGTTGCTGTGGCAGAGACAGCAAGTGGTTAAGACTTAAATCGGAGTATGAAAAGGATGGGGTTGATCAACACTGCATGTTTGAGAAATACATACCTGGAAAGCATAATGCATGAGGTCTTTGTAATTGCCACCTGGACTTAGGGCACTTCTTTTTAAAGGCTGTTTACACCTTCTTGGCTATTGAGGTCACTAGAGTTTAATTGTGTCCTAATTAGAATGTACAGAAACAGAAGTTTATTGGTGTGTGCTGCACAAAAAAATGTGTATAGCTGATAGGTGACAAATTCTGTTGCTTCAAAATTTTGATATATTTTACTGTGAGGGTTTCTTTAGAAAAATTTTTAAACCTTATGTTTTCTATACTCTATAAAAATAGAGTGGTACTGATCTTTAAGTAATTTACTCTGTGATAAGAATTTAACATGATATCAATATAAGGTTGGCTATAATTATATTATATGGAAACACAGTAATGAAACTATCCTTTTACTTTTTTGAGACATTATTAGAATGTTACTGTACTTTGTGTGTGTGGCAGTGAAGTCTTAGCTAGACTTCTGATGGCTTTAAAATGTCGATGCAGGTATCTACTTTAAGAATCGGGATTTTGCTAGATCTTTTTAAAAAATGCCTGCTTTCTCTCTGTATCAGTGTTTTGCATTGTGTTGTGTTTTGATGGCTCCACTTTGCATCTGAATGGTGTTTTTCTGTGTATATAGGTACTTAATATGTATAATCCGCTTTTTGGGAACACTTTGAAATGAAAGGCACTGTAAAAAAAAAAAGTTAATATACACATCCCATCTATGTGTCTGTCCCTACAATATGTTTCTCTAATCAGCTCTTGTATAAATTTTCATATGCTTTTATAAACAGCTTTCTCTGAGGTTTTTTTTTTAAGCTCTGTCCATACTGTTTCTCTCTGTTACTGCACTAATGAATGTGCTGAAAAGGTAAATGTATCTTGCTTTTGGTATTATCCAGAGATACATGAGTTGTATGAGGTCAGGCTGAGTTTATTGTCACATGTCATGATTGAATTTAATTGCATATATTTTAATCTGTTCCAAACTTAATGAAGCTCAGTAATCAATGAATCTATTAGGATAAAGAGAAATTTTTTTTACCAATATCGGAAAAAAAAATGATGTGAAATGTTTTTATTCACAGTGCAACAGCGGCCAAGAGAAGATGCATTAATGGAATTAGCAATGAATGACTACGACTTTAATTCTGGGAAGAAATTGCATCTGTTAGATTTGGAGATCCAAGAAGCATTCCTGTGTTTCATGGCCTCAATACTAAAAGGTTACAGGTCTTATCTCAGGCCAATAACAGAGGCACCCTCTGAAACAGCCACAGATGCAAGTTCTCTCTTTGAACTACAAGGTGAAGAGTCATCAACTTGTTTTATGTATATTAATTAATTATTTTAGATTCTCTCTCTTATTTAAAGAATAAAAACATTTGCAGTGTTCGTGTTATGAATGATGGTAGAAATGTAAGTGCAGAAAAAATTGCGTCGCAGTGGCAAAGATTACAGAATGGTTATTGCTTGTTAGAAGAATGTGTGCTGAATTTGAGGGCTTTTTTGTTTTGCGCATTCTTACGTGCTTCTGATTTTACTTTGCAGGTTTCCTCAAAAGTCGAGATCGTTCACATCAGAAGTTCTACACACTGATGACCAAAACTCAAATGTTTATTCGCTTCATTGAAGAGTGTTCTTTTGTCAGTGATAAGGATGCAAGCCTTGCATTTTTTGATGACTGTGTGGATAAAGTAAGCATGTCTTCATATGCATATAGATTTTAACTTCTGCTGTTGTTTGCGTTATCTGATACAGTACAAGCAGAATATATTTGAAGTGCAAGTTTATTTCTATTTTTTCCTATTTTCTAGTCACTGGAGCCTTCCATTTTCCTTTCTTGTTGGGCTTTGTTTCATTTTTTTCTTCAGATTCTTGAAAGTGTAAATATAACAACATGAGAACAAATGAGAAGTGCTAATTTTCACATGTATATAAGCTTCTGAAATACTGGCCCATAGCAAGTAGTGTAATATTCTGACTGTAAAGTAGCAACTTTGAGCTTCTTTATCAGAGAATTCTATTCCTTAGATTAAACTACAAGCATTTTTATAGACTGTGTAATATTTCATGCAGCCATTTAGGAAGGGGGTTGATGAGCAGCACACTAAAAGATATAAGGCAGTGTCACTGTTTTTTAATCATTATAAATAGAAGGTTCCTTAAGCCTTTCTTTTTTTTTTTTTTTTTTAAACCATGTGCTGGCCAGTTCTTTCTAATAGTAATTGTCTAGTTACTATTAGAGAATTTTTAGAAGGCTTGTACTAAATGTAAATAATTAAAATGAATCTTTATCAATTCTCCTTTCATTCATACTGTTGTCAGTAGCTTCCCCCAATTCAAAACCAGCTTGCTGATGTAAATATTTTAAATATAGTGCTTGTATTGATACTCTTCACTTGGATAAGAATATTTTCTAATGACCTTGTTACCAAATACTGATGGATATGAAATGTATAGGTTTCTTAAAGTAGGCAAGATTTATTATGGTGTGTCACACAAGTCTTGCGTAAGCTGTTATTATTTGTGGGTTCTCTTACTCTACTGTCCTATTTGTGTTGCAGTAAAGGAATACCTTGTTCTCTGTTGCTATGCTGTTCTCTCGTTAGTAATGAGAAGGAAAGGCAATTGTTAAGGATTATGTGACAAGGACTGTAAAAGTGCAACACAGTCACAATTGGTGTTTTTTTTTTAAATAAGCTTAGAACTTTTGCTGGACTGGAGCTCACAGAATGTTAGATTTCCCAGTTCAAAGTGGATTTCTTTTTTAGTCTTCCCTGGAAGTATCACTTGGATTTTTAAAAATCCTAAGATATTTATAAGAAATGTCCACATTAGTATAGTGTTGAGCACTGTGAAGAACTGATTTTCTAAAAAGTGCAGGTATATTAGCTTTTGAAAATTCATTGTATTTCCAAAGAGGGTCTACAAAAGTGTTTTGAGACTGCTTCAGATTTTTTTTTCTCATTAGCTTTTGTTTTCAGAGGAACTGAGCTGAAACCCACAATCTTATATCCGTGTTTGCTTCTATTGTAACATGAAAGAAAATTTTATGAATATGATAAGAAATTCCACGCCTACCTGTCGTCTTACTGGCTACCTGTAACACTCTATTCTGGGACACTGATGTTTAAGTAATGCACAGTTGTCGAGGATTTCCTGTAAAGTAGGTCACCTGCTGTTTGTTCCACAAGAATTAATACTGAAGACTATGAAAACTGGTTTGTACAGTTTCTGTTTATGGCTATTTCTGCTATGAGAGTGCAGAAGAGCTAAAAGGAGTTGTTTTGAAAACAAATCTGGAAGCAGTTAAGTTTGAGAGAAATATAGAAGCATGGCCTAATGGTTTTTAATGCTCTTTATAGCTTTTGCCAGTCTCTATTTTATTAGTAGCAGTTCTCAAAAGTGTGCTTCACAGTTCTACAGCATGAGTTGCAGGTATTCGTGGGCTGTAAATTAATTTAATTGCAAACATTTCTGTAACATTCACTCGATTATCCTGTAGTTCAGTTAAAAAGCCTTCAACACGTAGCACTTGCTTTGCTTTATGCCAGTTAGTGTTTAAAACTGGGAGATCTCCTAGACAGGAATAATACGTACCCCAGTGACTAAACACTACTGAGCAGTACTTCATTTTCATTGCGTTGCACGTTAGTTCTCTGACTAATGTTAAATAGGATTTTTATTCAGAATGCGATGACTATGTAAGTGTCAAATTCTATCTGTTGTATTTCATTTTATAGGATGGTTTATGAGGGCACTGAAGGTGATGCCCTAGCTAAAGTTATCTTGCCTAGGAATTCAAACAGTTCTTCCAAAAAAGTAATACTTAGGTTGGTGATGCCACTGTGAGACTGCATGTAATCTGTGGAGCTGTTGGAGCTTTCACCTCTTCTAAAAGTACAGCTCATACTTGTACACCGAAGCAGAGACTCATTTGTTCTAATGCCAGTTATTTTGCTAGTTGATGCTGTGGGCAGCTTCGTTCCACAATAAAAAAAATGCTCATGACTGTGCCATGAGAATAAATTTTACAGAAAACACTTGTACTTCTCTAACTTCTATTTCTGTCAGTGAAGATTTAATTCAGTTTTATTAATGGGACAACTTCTATGCCAGTGATAATCATGGGGAAACTGAGGTACTGGAATTACTAGGCATTTAAAATTTGCCATGGCTTTAGAATTGCTTGTGAAACTAGGTTTTCATTGACATGAGGGAGTGTGTTCCCATGTAGGATTTTTTTGAACAATGCTATATTTGCCTCATCATTTCTTTCCTGCTTCTCTTTCTTGATTTCTCTTATTTCTGATACTGTGCTTAACAGTAACATACAAAGTCAAAATACTGAAGTATCCCAAGGACTGCTACGCAAACTAGGTCTTTAGCCAAGATGCTCTATTTTGACCAGATATCCAATTTGAATGATTCCAGTAAAGTGAATATTTATTTATATATTAGTGTTTTCACTGGGTGAACCAGTACCTGAATGGGTATGTGTGAAAGAGTGATGTCATGGGTTGAAAGAAGATACAACACTTTCTTATGGGTAGTTATAAGCCACTGGGTTGAGACAAATTTTATGTACTGTGAAATTAGTTATTTATAAAATATAATTTAAGCCCTGCCTCAAATAATTAATAAGAATAGTTGAAGCTGAAGAGTAATCTCTCCTATATGTTATTTTATCCTAGATAGCAGCAGCAGAGATTGTAATTGATTACCCGTTTTGTCTACTGAAAGATATGATGTAATTGTCTCACAAGTTTTCATTTTTCCAGGAATTCAAAAGTTACCTCAATTCAATACATATTTAAGCTACTGGCTTTATTGTATTTTGCTGGTGAAACTTGTAACTGTGGGGTTTTTACATCCTTAGAAGTATTTAAATTGCCAAGTAAGGTTTTGTTTATTTCTACTTTTCAGGAACCATATGTTCTTGCTACTTGGCTGGTTCGGTTTGCTAATACTTTCCATCTGTCTCATGCAGTAAAATGTGTAATTAAGAACACCTCTTTGTACGTTTACCAAATTTTAAATATTCGAGAATTCTACTGAAACTGCTTGATATATTTCCACCTCGCTGGAGGGAGAGAACTGTGGAGTATGCTTCTTCCTGTACATTAATTCTCTGTTGCTAAACTCTTAAGGCATGAAGAACATGCATCCTTGGGTTCCACAGGTTGCTTATTCATTTCTTCAAAATAATTACCATTTGGCTGTAACTTGGTTGCCATTTAAACCATTTAAATCATGTCTGTAAATGTAAACTGTGACAGCATGAGCTGAACGCTGGGGTTATCAATACGTGAATAAAAAGCATGTTCTGTGTGTTGTGAAGTAAATAGTTTTGATAGCGCCGACTCTTTTGAGATAGACGTGTCTCATCTCGCAAGCAGAAGCAGTGCTTATGAGGTATTGAAGGAGACACAGTTGGTGACAGAAGATCAGGGACAAAGCAATACAAATACCAGTACAAGTATCAAACAACAGCTCTCGGGCAGAATGTAATACATGTTCTATTTGCTCTGTTCCTAGTGGTTTCTGTAATACGAACAGTAGTGGTAGGAAGCTTGTAGTATAGTTAAAGGCTTGTCTGTTCTTTTTCTCAAAGGGAAACAGTTCATAGTTTCCCAAAATCTTGTCTGTCTTGTCTGGGGTGGCCGAGTTTTGCTTTAGTTCTTTATTTTTATCTCAAGCAATAGAATGAAATTCTGTCAGTAAAATTGTTGGACGGTTTTTTCCTGCCTGATCCTGCAGTTTGATGCTTTGAAATTTGCCTGGAGCTTGGAGTATGTCTCTGCTGCTGTCTTTAAAGCAGGGACATTAATTTGGGAAATCCAAATTTCTCCTTCTCTCTGCAACAGCCAGGCTAGCCAGGCAAAGATATGTGGTCAAATTGCCTGTTACAAAGCTGAAAACAAAACAAAACAGGTGCAGCTGTAATTTAGGCTTAATTATAGTATTATTACAAGTTGCCTTGGTTATCCATCAACTGAATTTCTGTCCTGGCTTTGAGAGGACAGGACCACCCAATATGTGCTGTATCTTAACACATACAACTTGAGTTATCTGAAAGAGAAAAAAATCGTGAAGCTACGCTTCACCTTTCAGATAACTGGGTTTTTTTAGAAAAACAAAGTTACTTCTATCCCCCTTTAATTTTAGTAAGGTCACACATTTTTATTCCATTGTCTCTTCAAATGCATGTGTATTTCTGCAATGTCTGCAAACTAGCATGACCTTAGTGACTATGCAAGTGACTGAAATTGCTAGTGTTGTCTGTAGATTCTGTATACCTCAGACAATTGGATAAAGTTTGTTACTGTTTTCAGTGGTTAAAATAGAGGGAAAAAAATAGCTCTTATTTTCATATTTAAAAATAAATTTCAAGTTACTGCTGCAATTGGCAGCATAATTCCAGAAATGGTTGTATTCAGAAAGATTAACCTCTTTGTACAACTACTTATACTATTTAACTGAAAACAGTCGGTTCGGAGTATATTGTTAAACATTTATTATTGTGTTAGGGTAAAGTTTACAAAAACAATGCAATGCTCATTATAACTTAGCAAGGCATCCTTACTTTCAAGATGCAATCCTTTGGTGCTGATACGGACCTTGCCCTGCTTGACCGTATGGCTTTAATGGCAGAAAATACAGTAACACTAGTAACTACTTTTTCTTTTAACATAACTTCTCCAGGTAGATATGGACAAAACTGGGGAAACACGGCTTATAGAGCTGGATGAGTCATACAAGAGTGAGCACACAGTTTTCATAACACCACCTGAGATCCCTCATCTGCCAAATGGTGAAGAGCACCCTCTACAATACAGGTAACCTAAGGGCACAGTAGGATGCCAGCCAAAATCCAAACAGCTGCCCTTGTAGAGTTAGTTTCTAGGTTCTTGCGATAGCCATGAAGTACAGATTTTTCCTGTCCCTTTATGTTGCTCAAGTAAAAATGTCTATGTAAAATGCCTAGGGTGCCAGCTCTTTTGAAGTTTTAATGATTTTTGTGTGTGTGTGTGTATACGCACAGAAGCAGTAATACTTAATAAAGCTGGCTGTGTGTTCACATTATTGTGCTAGCTTTTGACACTTTTTAAGGTTAAAATTGAAATTAATGGACCCAGTCTGGCCTGCTGCTACTACTGATAACAATACAAGCTGCAGATACTCTTTGGAAAGAGAGAGTGCCTTTCAAAGAATCACTGAAAACTGGTGTTACTAATTTAGTAATTATGTCACATGAGTTTGTCTATTGGTTTCTTCATTAATTCTGAGAAACATTTTTAAATCTAATTTAATCGTTTAGATAGTTTGATATTGTTCATATTGATTTTTATAAACCTCTGTCATGTGATGCTCACTAGGGACTAAGCCACACAGATTTTTTTTTTTTATTAACTAGAATCAATACTAATGCATTTGACACTTCAAAGAAAAGGCTATGAAAGCAAAAGTATTTATCAATTTAAGTTGCTTACACTGAAATAACAGGTTAAGAGACTGTGCAGGCTTATGAAATCATGCAGATGGATTAGTAAACCACTTTGTCAACACTGTCTTTAAAGGTTCACTTTTGTGTTTTCTATTTCCTGTGTAGCTTCTAGTGCAACTGTGTAATTGATTTAATTTGCTATAATGTGACATGTTTACTTTGGAACTGCCTTACAGGAGTTAAGTGACGCATTTCTTTTACAGCTATAATGGATTTCCAGTATTAAAACTAGATTTGTTTGAGCGACCTGAAAGATTTCTCACAGCACCAAATAACAAACTGTCCTCAAAAGCCAGTAGTCCCAACAGCCCATCGCCAATGTTCCGAAGAACTAAACAGGTACTTGCAGCTATTCTTGTAGTGTGAGGTGCTTTAGAAAGTGACAGCTTGCTGCCTTCACCTTGTGTTTGGCTATAAAGACTGACTGGCAGTGGCTGCAGCCTAACTAATGGTTCTTCCCTGGTACGGTGACTACAGGGTAGCCATGCTAATCGTTCTTTGGATGTTTACCTGTGCTTCATGCCTACACCGTATCATACAGGGCCTCTGTACGCAGACTGTCATTTGCTGTGCTGTCCCTATACCTTCTGCGTTCTTCACGCTGTTCTCCCTGAGCATAAACTGTTGGGCTTCCACATCTACTTTTTGACTGCTTTTCACTGTCCAGGGCTTTAAGAGGGGCTCTAACTTTCAAATGCTTCTTACAAAAAATGCAGACCAAAAGTGATAGACATGAATAGAAAGAAATGCAAGTTTTTAGGAGGGGAATATTACAGCAACTCTTTCTGCTATCACTCGCTCTGCTTTTCATTTTCTTTCCCACTTTGAGTATGTTGTTCATATTAACATTGCAGTTTCTGTAGGTATAATGATACATGTTCAGTTTTTAACATGTAGGTTCGTGTAATGTGTGTGTAAATATACACAAATAATCTTTATGATTCTTTACAGGAAATTAAATCTGCACATAAAATTGCTAAGAAGTACTCATCGATACCACAGATGTGGTCCAGGTGTTTGTTACGTCACTGCTATGGTCTTTGGTTTATCTGCCTTCCTGCATATGTGAAAGTGTGCCATTCAAAAGTCAGGGCTCTGAAAACTGCATATGATGTGCTACAAAAAATGCATACCAAAAAAATAGATCCACCTGATGAGGTAAAATAAGTCAACCCCAGAATCCCAGAAATAGCCCATGGGTTTTATTGAATGGAGGATATGTTTGACTACAGAAGCACAATGCTAACTTGTCTGTATTTTCAGGTATGCTACCGAGTACTCATGCAACTGTGTGGACAGTATGGTCAGCCTGTGCTAGCAGTGAGAGTGCTTTTTGAAATGCAGAAAGCTGGCATTGACCCTAATGCCATTACTTATGGCTACTACAATAAGGTAAGTAATTTTGAAAGGGGGGGGGGCAATGCATTTTTATCCAGGCAAATAGAAGCAAGCAAGTTCAGATGTAATTCTGTCATTTCTAGTAACTGGAAGAAATACAAGACAGAATAATTGTGTTGTCCTTGCTTTTGTAGGCTTAGAAGTCCACTCTGTAAGTGCCAATGTAACCCAATTTGAAATTTAAAGTAATGATTTCAAACCTGCCTGTTCCTTAAGATGACTTTATTTGACCTTGATATTTCCAAAATAGGCTGTTTTGGAAAGCACCTGGCCTTCAAGCAATCGAGGTGGCTATTTCCTATGGATGAAAATACGAAACGTTGTTTTAGGAATAGCACAGTTTAAAAAAGCATTGAAAAAGCTGCCAGCAAGCACCTCGCATACAGCCATTCCTGGTAGAGTATTCACATCCTTTCCTTTTTCATGCTGATAAGAAAATTATTTCAAAAAGCTTTCTGTTGTGAATTTGATGATAAAACAGTTTTAGAGAGAGAGAAAAAAATTCTTGCATAATTTTTAAAAAACAGCTTTTTTTTTTTCTTTGAATCCAAAATAGTCTGCTCTTTATTTGTTGTATCAGCTCTTCATGGAGACAAAATATGAACCTGAAATTGATGTGATAATTATCCTAGTTCATACAATAGCTAGTCTCATAACTGGCAGGAACTTCTGTCCAGCCTTGCCTTTGTTTTGTTTTCCCCCTTTTTTTGATGTTAGCCAAAAGGCAACTGGAACTAGTCCTTGAGTTTGTAGTACTGTTTGCAGGTTCTGCATACCAACTGAAATGATTGCATTTAATTTTGTCTAGAATATAAGTACAATATTTGAGGCTGTAAATTTTTGTTTTCTTCCCAGTAAAGATTTATGTGATGTTCTAATGGCTATATTACCATGCTGGTGATTACTTGCAGTTTGTGGTTTTTGTAGGTACTACTTCCCACAGTATTTATAACTTGCTTTACTAGTAAAGCAAGATAGTACATTTCAAAGTACCAGCAATATAGTTAGTTTAGTTGACGTTGACCTTGGAAGACCTTTGCAATATACATGTATAAATGCATGAAGATCATCTGAATCATCTTTTGAGGTCCCTTCCAACCAGGGTTATTCTATGATTCCAAATATGTACAAATAAATCTTTGCCCTGACAAACAGAACAAATATGATGGCCTTATGGCTAGAGTATTTCTCCTTGACTCAGGAGACTACAGTCCTACTTCTGGCTCTATCACTAGCCTTCTGGATGACCTTGAACAAATTTACTTTATTTCTGCCTGTTCTTCATGAAGCTGACCTTCCTGATAAACCACTTTTTGAAACCCATCTGTGCAAAGCACTATATAAAAGCTTAGTTATGTTGGTTGCAACTCAGACCATGTAAACTAAGGAACTGTAATTAGTCTTTTACTAAGTAACTGTCATTTATATAATTAATGGTATTTGCTTTTGACACCATCTGATTTTTTTGAGATGTCTTTGCATGAAAGCACATAGCTAGAATACATGCTGATTCTTCAGGCAATCCCAAGAACTCTTTCATAAATCCCAGAATATTTTGTTATCTTTACAATAGCAACAAGGTTTTTACCCTCTCTGTAGAGATTCGGTGTAGCATCTTCAGGGGAAAAAAGGGAAAGAAGCTGACTTCCAGCGATGTTGTACCCTTTTGATCCTGGATAGGTGCTTACTGTTATCTCCTAAACCGCATGGGAGTAAACCCCCTAAAGATGCTGCGGGACTGCTGGAGACTTCAGGTTGACCTGGACAAAGGACACAGAATGCGTGTGACTTGAAAGGCTCACTTAGTATTTATAGTGAACAGAAACTTTCTTATCTGCTTTGTTCATTTGCTTTATTTTGGTGCTAATGCATTATAACAACCTGGAAGAGGAACAACCATGTTAGTGTTAAGTAAATTTGGTTCTTGAAATCAATCAATCAGACTATATTAGTTACACGTGGGGCAGTGTTTTGTCATAAGAATGACCAGATGATGGCTTGAATGTTTGCAGGGGATGTTTTTGGGTGGTGTTGGTTATTTTTATTTTACTCTTATTTTGCAAGTAAACTCATGGCTGCTGCTGCATTGTTTCAATTTTTTTTACTTTCTAGAGTAAAACCATGAGAATTACACACATTAACTTTGAGAAACATACTATGCTAAAATGAAACCATGTTTAGATGCCTCTTAGAGTTCTTGAAAAGATGTGACATTTTGATCAAATAAACCAGGCAACAGAATCAAAGACAAGCAGTGCTGTAGTACAGTATTTAAAAAGAAATGTTGCAAATTGCCCTTTTAATTTCATCCTGTAGAGCATCGCTTCAGTGTTTGTGCTGTAAAAGTAAGCCAATAATTTTTCTCACTTTTTTGTGGTGAAATGTTCACTGTTAATTGGAATGTACTTGATAAGAGGCCTTTGAATTACTGTGGATATTCAATTTATTCTGTTCAACAATGTCAAGCTATTAAATACCATAATCATCTTTATTCTCTCATTGCCCTGTTATGATAGGGGGACTTTCAGACTTTGGCAATAACACATCATTCAGAGAAGAAGCCAGGCAAGGGAAAACTTGTCTTCAAGATATACAAGAACAAAAAGAGGACAAGAGAGAGAGTGACTCCAGTTCTCGTATGTATCTTGTGAATACAGATATCTAGTTCATTGTGGATAAATAGGGATTTCAGCAAAAGCTAAGTGGGGCAGCTGATTGGTTTTTTTTTTTTTTGAATATATGTGATAATGCCACTTTATGCCCATGCCTTAAGTTCTTTTCTCTAAATGTAATTTTGTGGTTGTCTGATGGTTTAACTTTTAAAATTACAGTTCTTTTTTTCCTCCTCTGTTTAAAATAAGTGATAATGGTAATATAAAGGCTTAATGATAATTACAGCTATGTGGTTTTGTCTTTTAAAAAAATATAGGCATAATCTACAAGAAAGCCTTTTCTACCAGTCTAGTTTTTTTATAAATCCTGTAAGAGGAAAACAGCTGAATTTTTGCAGGTCTGTGGGAGAGGTCTAAATTACTCAGCTCCCTGGAATTCTCAAAATTTAGGAGAGGCAGTAGAAATGAGAAGGGCTTTGGTTTTTTGGTTGGGTTTTTTTTTTTTCCCCAGGTTTTACATCTGCTGCTCATGATTCACTTAACTGCAGCTGAGCAGCATAGACTATGCAAGCATATAGCAGATCAGATCGTGTATAAAAATTTATAAGTACTATAGATTGCCATATACATTCATCGAAAATACACTTCTTCATAAATGTTCTCCTAATAATATCATTATTTAAATGTTTCAGTGTGCTTTTCCCTACTATTTGAGTTAACTATCCCCTTGTCAAGTGGAAGTGGTGTAAAAGTATGAGAAAATATAGAACCGGAAAAGTTACTTCAGTGTTTTCTTTTCACCACAGTCTTCCTTCTAGCATTAGTATTTCTTTCTTCAGTTTACTTGAAAATTTGTGTGTTACTCATGGTCATAAGAACATACCTGTAAGATGGCAGGCAGGTTATTTAGGTTTAGTGAAACTTTTGAGGACACAGAAAACATGGATTCTGTTGAAAGCTTGTATTATTTTTAGCTGTAATTAAAACAAGTTTGTGTGTGTCTCTAATAATAGTATGTGCTGAAAATGTTTTGCACTTTTGAATATGACTTTGAGACCATTAAGTTGCTTGAATTCCTTTAGAGAAGTAATTGTCTATTTTGGGTAGCCACCTGACAACAGAATTTGTCTTTTAGATGTGAAAGAGGTGAATGTAAATACTGCAATATTTCCTTCATTTCTCTTGTGTAGTCACGGTCCTGGGGGTAATGAGATCCATACAGAGAGAGGCTCATTGGCCCTGAGCTCCTGCAAAGGCAGGAGAAAATACTCTTATGCCTATCCTTTGCAAGTGAACCAAAGGTGGTCTTAGTCTCCACAACCACCACAAATTTTGGTGTGAAAGTACTAGCTACTTTGATTCTGTGTACAGAAGCTTATGGAACTTCCAGTTATAAAAGTAATGCCAGGAATTAAATATCCATAGTTCAGTTGTTCCAGCTTGAAAACCTCTGCCCAAGTAGATATCGGCCTATGTATCATGGGATATGGATAATGTGCTGTCACTTAATCCTGCATAAAGCATCTAATAGACAATGGAAACTTGAGATATAAATTAAGTTGCTTTGATTCTAATGAACTGTCTGTCCTTTGCTGTCTTTTTCTGTCTTTTTCCTACAGTATCTGAAGTGGAGAGCGCAAAAGGGAGTGGTGACTGCCTACCTAAACTAAACTATCAGAACTCAACGAATGCCAAAGCCGCTTCTAGCATAGTGCGGCTCAATGGTACAGTTGACAATACCATAGCAGAAGCTAGCACAGGTGAGTGGAAGAGAAAATAGATTTTGATTCTTGTGCAGTTTTGTCTATATATATATATTCCATTTCTAACAAGAGCTCTAAGTAGTGTGCCTGAGTTCTGTTGTCCACAAAACTTACAGTATTTTATTGGTGTAATGCAGTGGCCGATGAAATTTATGAGAGCAACTTTGTGGGAATGAATTTAGGTTAAAGCCTGCATACGCTGTGCCAGGGAGATGCATCTGAATATTCTGCACATCCAGATTTTTTTCTTGTTCCAGATTTTTTTCTTGTTTGCTTTTTTTTTGGCTATAGTTAACATCTGCTAACAAAATCCCAGGTCTGGTTTTTTTCTTGTAACCTCCACAAACTAATGAATTCCTTCAGGATGGACAAGAGGTTTCTGTGCAGTACAATTAAAAAAAACTTTCAGGCATATTCACAAGGCTTTAGTAATGTCAAATCTGGTTATTATAATAATGCCAGCTGTACTTGAAATACTGTAATATCATACTTAAAGTCTGCATCTTTATGCTCTGGCAAAACAATGCAGACTTCTCTGACAATAACTCCTTTTTTTAGCTCTATTTCTAATTCATCAGGTTAGAAAGCATTGCTTTTTTTTTTTTTTTTTACCATTTCCTGGATACCTTTGCTGCCCCTAGCTTTCAAACCTCTTAATAATGGGTTATGTCTCCAAAGAGGAAACTAAATACATGTAAGACTTTTTCTTGATGGTGTCTCTCAAAGTACTCCTGAGTTGTATGATTTGACTCCCTTTTAAATGTTTTATCGTCTGATGGTTCCTAAAAGTTACGATCGTAGTCAACTCAACTTTTCAACCGCTAGCACAGTACATAGTGACTTCAATCTCTGTGTTGTAAACTGTTTGAAAGATGAGACAAATTTGCCTCCTTCTGTAATTTTGTTTAGTTTTTTTGCATAGCAAGAAATAAAGCACCTTTTTTTTTTCATCTGTTTTTCAGAGAGTTCTGTAGGATTGTTGTTTACATCGTCATTTGAGGATGCCAGTAAAGCAGAAGTTATAAAAAGTAAATCCTTAAGAAAAAGACATAAAAGTGCAGTAGAATCTGACTTAAGGGAGATACCATGGGAAAGCAGGAACCGTAACCTGAGTGGAGATGCCTTAATGGGACTCATGATAAATAGAATAAATCAGAAAGCAAACCCGGGAGAAATCGTTGAAAAACTAGGAGCTGATGCCAAAATCCTATCTAGTGCATTACAGAAAAGCATAAGGCCAAAAACTCTTAATATCAGAACTTCCTCTTTAGGATCTAAGAGAGAAAGCCTGGAGAAAGAATCTAGTGATGAAGATGCAGCTTTTGATTGCAGTTTTACAGATAAAACAGAGTCTCCTGTTATCTTTGATCTGGAAGACTTGGATGCAGAACCTGAAACATCTACAGCAGTGAAATCCTCCAGTGAAAAATCTAGAAAGCTGCAAAGAAAGAGCAGCTTTCCAGTGAAGTCAGTTGAAAAGACAGATGTTGAAACTGGATTTGATCCACTGTCCCTGCTGGTTGCCGAGACAGAACAGCAGAAAGAGGATGATGAGGAGGAGGATGATAGAAGTGTTTCTACTCCATCTGCAAGGCGAGATTTAGCTGAAGAAATAGTTATGTACATGAACAACATGAGCAGCCCTTTGTCAAGTCGTGCCCCAAGCATTGAGTTGCAAAAACCCTATGATGACAGAAATGCTAGTAAAAAGAGCCCAACAGTAATCCAACCTTGTAGGAGGTCCAGCCTTCCCCCGAACTCCCCGAGGCCATCCAGTCTTACCAAATCCAAGAGTTATCATGCAAAAAATGAAGAAAGACCGAGAGACAGGCTTTGGTCCTCCCCAGCTTATTCCCCAAACAGTCCAGCAAAGGAACAGCCACAGGACGCAGCTAGTGCGTTAACACTTGTGTCTTCACCATCATTCAACTTGGATACGTTGTTAACACCTAAGTTTGATGTTCTAAAAAGCAGCATGTTTTCTGCTGGAAAAGGGGTTGCAGAGAAAGCTAGCAAGTGGTACTCAAAATTTACAATGTATGCTGCATCCTCAAAGGTAAATTTTTACAATTACTTTCCCCTGGCCCCAAACCTAAGTTCCTATAAATAAAGGAAGAAGCTTTGTAAAGGTTTAATCGCCAACTCCTATGTGATGAATCCCCCGTTTGGATGACATGCATCATGGTAGACTATGTGCATTAAGTTCTTTTAATCACGTTTGAATTTCCAGGACCCTAATTTTGTTGTCCTGAATCAAACAAAATTTCGGTCTAGCATGGGTTCAGAGTATATTTAATGGGAAAACCTAAGTATACTGTAGTGTGTTGACAGGGCAGAGAAGATTGCTCTGCCTTCCTTTATTTACCTAAAGAAAAAAATACTTAAATAAACAATAATTTTTTAAATTCTTTACAGCTTTGGGGGGGGGAGGGAAAGGGAAATCTGCTTGTATTGATTACCAAAGTGACTTAAGGCTAACTTTGAGCTGAGGTCAATTGTTTAGAAAGTTCTTTGCTGCTACCAACTCAAACCAAAACTCTTCTTATTCCCAGTCCTTGGGAATGAAAATAGACGCAGTTTGCTCTTGGTGTGTTGTCTTAATGTGCTTAAAAGCAAACTGAGACTAATTAACTAAAGTATCAGTGATGCCTTGCCTATGCTAATGCATTCCTACAGCTGCTAATAACTTCTGTAACAACGGTGGGAAAAAATTATAGGATTAAAATGTTTAAGTTTTCATTTAGATCTTTTTATTTGGAGAATCTCTTAAAAAGAATCCTCATGTAGCTATTTAACCCTGAGCGAAACTTGCCTTGTTTCACGTTTGTTCTGAATACAGATCTGAGCTGAGTGACTTTTCAAGGAGGCGAGTTCATGCTTTGAATTTACTGAGACAAAGAAGGCTGCCTTTTATTTTCAGAAATATTTTTGCTTTCCTTTTCTCACTGGAATTTGTTTTCTTCTCTCAGGATCAAAATTCAGACCGAGCCAGCGTTTCATCTCTTGGAGCTCTGGACTCAGAATCTACTTCTCTAACTGATGAAGATGTCTGCAATGATTTTGAAAGTGCTTCTCCTCAGGAGAATACCACATCAGAAATTAAGGGAATTGGCCTCAGCAGTACAAGCCTAGAGAGCTCAGCTTCCCATGATGGCTCATCAAAACAATTTGAACAGTGTGGTAAGAGACAGCTTTTGCATTGCATTCATTGATCTGAACAAAAATATTCCAGTTTTAGAAGTTGTTCTTTCATAATTCTCGGTTTGGGATCATCCTACTTGTTAGCCCTTTTTGTGGAAGAAGTAAATTTTTCTTTTCTTACCTGCAAACTATTACTCATACAGATATGTCCATGCCTATGGATATTTTTATTGTAGGACATTGTTTTGGGTGTTCTTTCTTGCGGAATAACTTGCACAGTAACATCCTGTCCCTGAATAAGTTTCTGAATGCTACAGCTATGCAAATAAGAGACCCTTTAAGGTCCTTCAGTGTTCATGTAATTGCCTTATTTGTGTAAGCTGTACAGCTCCAGAAAACATCTATAAAAACTTTCAAAAGGTGACTTTATTAGTCTGTTTTGTTTTTTTTTTTCTAAAAGTAGTAAAAATCCTTTTTGGAAAATTGTTATAATTCTTCTTTAAGCCACTGTTGAAGCTGATTATCAGACAGACTTTGTATTTTTTTTTTTTTCCTAATCTGCACCGGCTAATTGGTAGTGACTGTTAATATCAATTTCTGTACTATACTACTGTCATTGGAGTACAGTGTGTCAAGCAGAATCAGGATGAAAGGAAGATCTGTCTTAGATCCCTCCACTTAGCACCTATAAGAGTATGCCCAGGTTTGGCTCCCTAGTTTGTGGGATGTGGAGGAACTGGAGAGGGGCAGTGGAGGCTGCCATCGTAGCTGGGGATTTGGGGCATCCTGAGGCTGAGGGGAGCCTGGCTTGTTCAGTGTGGCAAAGAGAAGGGTCAGGGATATCTGCAATCGCAAGCAGCACCTCTTATCCTTCCCTAGTTTTTGTCCAGACAGAAAGCGTGGGTATGAATTACTTAATCTGTAAAATTTGTTTCCAAGCTACCAACTGTTGTAAAAGAAGAAAACTGAACATATGGAAATTCTATGTTGGTAGATTTTATTTTTGCTGTTGTTGGTGCTGGGCAGATGGCAGCCTCACATTCCAGCTTCACATTTCTTTATGTCTGAGTATATCCGATTTGTTGCATCTTCCATCACACATGTTACAACTGCAGTATTGTTTGACCAGAGAAACAGTTTACTAAAAAAGCATATTCTATATAACTAATACTTTGGGTTTTTTCTGTTACTAGGGTCTCTTTCAAAGTTTCCTTTACCTGACAAATCGGAGTTGGTATCTTCTTGCAGTACAAGTAGTACCAGTGTGTTTCAGAACTACGCTATGGAGGTACAGGACGATTTATTGATTTTAATTGATACACTAAAAGCGTATGTCTTTAAATATAAATGCTATCTGAATCTCTGTTAAAGTTCAAAGCTTAAAACTAATCCACTGAAAGATAGATAAATATTTCTGTGACAGAGTAGGTTTCATTTCAAATCCTGCTCTAGAAATGTCTTTATTGCAGTCACATCTTTTGGTCCGTAAAGTTGCGGTTCTCAAGAGTTTGAGAATTGGATGCCATTAAATTCAGGCATCTAAATCCCTTGTGCAGTTAAATTTGTTTGAAGTGAAAATACCAAGTCTTAAATAGCACTATACGCTTAAAAATACGGAATAGATAACTAGCTATTTCTTGTTGTAGCTTCTAGTAAGATCATTTTGCTTGTCACTGTTACACCGGATTTGGATTAATGACTGGTCATTTTCATCTTTTTCCCCATCATTTCTATTATACTGGCAGTCACTACAGAAGAGTGTTTAAATTCTGAGAATAATTTATGTAGGTGCATAAATATTCCTGCACTATTATGTTTGCAAATTACAAATGACACGTTATTGTTAATAAAAATATTATTGCCTAATTGGCTGGTTTTACTCTGGGAAGCCATAAAAGGATCACCTAACCCACTTAGCTAAAGTATATTTATTTCACGAGCATAGTTCCAGATTCCAGTCTACTTGCTACAATAGAACAAAGACTTGCATTTAATAAATTTTTCAGACAAGGTTCATTCCAGTCATTTACCATATCAGCTGTCTGAATGCAGTTTGGATTTAAGATTTAATAGTTGTTCTGAAATACATAAATTTAAACCCAAATGTTCCAACCTAAAGCCTGGGAACAGATATTTGGCTGAACTTGCACGCAAGTGGTGAGCTGTATTCATCTAAAGGCAAAGATTTTGGCTATAGTTTTAACTGCTTTGTAAAAGAAGAATAGTTTTGAGAATGTGTAATAGTGGAGTTCTGTTATCTGCTGTATGCAGGTCCTCATCTCAAGCTGTTCACGATGTCGAACTTGTGACTGTTTGGTTCATGATGAAGAAATCATGGCAGGTTGGACAGCAGATGATTCAAATCTCAATACCACGTGTCCTTTCTGTGGCAATTTATTTCTGCCTTTTTTAAGCATAGAAATCAGAGATCTTCGGCGACCTGGACGGTAACAACATTATTTGAATTTTCCTCAATTTTGAATGCTCATAATTCTGAAGTAACTTTTGTTTGGTTTTTAAATAATATTAAGATTTTGCTTTCCCTGCAGGTATTTTCTGAAGTCCAGCCCTTCTACAGAAAACATGCAGTTCCCATCGCTTTTTGCAAATCAGAGCGGGAAGTCCTGTAACACTGCAACTACTGTTGGCCTTGCTCCATCTCTAGTGTCTGTTCAAGAGGATATAAATTCAAACAGGTAAACCTGCATTTTCTGCATAGAAATTACTCAGGTTCTCTGTGGATGTGCACATACTCCTCATCAACAGAAATAAATTTAACCAGATACTGTCTGAAGAGAAGAAATTGATTTGAGAGAGGATCTCCTTGCTGCCTCTCCTTTATCTCTTGAGTTGACCACATCGTGTTTTTTCAGTATGGTGTTTACCATTTCATCCCTAATATAAAAATTCATGTAGGCATCTGTAATTCTGCAAATTTTATGAACTCTTTTAGGAAGTTTGTGTTCATTATCAGTGCAAGGGGGAATGAAACTTGCACTGTAGCATGAATGAGTGTGGTGGCTGACAAGGTAGAATTTGAGGTGTCCTGTCAATTATTTCCAGTTTATTTCTGCCTGTTTGCGTAGATGTTTGAGCACTGTAAGTAAAAGAAAAAGCTGAGATTCTTAACTTTTTTTCCCCCCCCAGCAAATCTAAGCAGCATGACAATATTTGTGCCAGAAGCATCCAGATCCCGTCAGGAAGAAGACAAAATACCTCTGGGTCAGAATGTACAAGTCACCCTGTAGCAAGGAGTATCAGTACTTTTGGTCCATTGGAAGAAGATGAGAAGGAAAACCAGAAGATCAGCCATATCATTCCTACTGGTAGCCTGCCTGCTACTTTGCAAGGACCAACAGTGTGTAGTTTTTCTACCTTAAATGTAATTTTTTTAAGTGTGTGATAGATGAGAGAAATGTGAAACAGCATTAATTAGGAGAACAGAATTAACCATCCCAAATTATGAGAAATACTAGGTTTTATTATTTTAACTAATATTAGTTGTAGCTTATAGATGCTGGTGTGTCTCATAGGGAACAAAAGCATTCATAAGACTTTGTAAAGATAGCTACATTCCAACTAAGGGCATCTTTTCATCTTTACCACAGGATTCCTTGGGCCTGGAATGGCGCTTACCTAGTCCAGATCCTATAACGGTTCCTTATCTCAGTCCTCTAGTGGTATGGAAAGAGCTTGAGAGCTTACTTGAAAATGAAGGGGATCATGCAATAACAGTGGCGGACTTTGTAGATCATCATCCTATTGTGTTCTGGAATTTGGTGTGGTATTTCAGACGCTTGGACTTGCCCAGCAACTTACCGGGATTGATACTTTCTTCTGAGCACTGTAATAAAAACTCCAAGGTATGGAATCAGATAGGAAACGTTGACATATGAGAAATGCTTGTTTTGCCATATGGGGAATCATTACATAATTTGGTAACTCTTAGAAATGTGTCTTACAATATGCTGGGCCCTGTCCTGAATGGGTAAAGAATGTGTCACTGAAGGAAAATATGCCTAACTCCAGAACTTGGGCTCAGCAGTACTTGTGCGGGGTAAGTGTTTAGCTCTTACTAGTCACACTATAACTTGTGATCCTCAGTTACAAAGCAGATAAGTTTCTAGTTGGTTTTATTGCAGTTTGACTAGTTAAGCAGTAGGAGGAGGAAGAAGTTAGGATTTTAGGACTGTAGGAAGAAACGCAAAATACTCATTTGCTCTGTCACTGACATCCTGTTCAGACTTAGCTTTCTCTGGTTTTACAGCAGTTTTAATACTAAAGCTTTTTACCATGAGGCCTATAGATGTGAAGATATATTTTAAATACAGAAGTATTCTGTCATGACTTTGTAATAAACTATCTTTATGCATTCTCCTGTTCAGATTCCGCGAAACTGTATGTCAGAGGACAGTAAATATGTTCTTATTCAGATGCTATGGGACAATATGAAATTGCATCAGGATCCAAGGCAGCCTCTGTATATTTTGTGGAATGCTCAGAGTAAGCTGTGTTTCTTGTGTTTTTTGGTGGTCTTTTTTAAAGAACAGTTTTCATTTTGAGCAACTGAAGAATGTGTTTTGAAAAAAGATGTCTTTGTGGATAGTTCACACAAGATACATGACTGGTTTTTGATCATGCTACTTTTTGTCTTGCAGGTCAAAATCGCACTCTTTTGTTTGAGAGTGAGTGTTAAGTTTGGTGTTGCTATTCTAAGTTTGTGCGACTCGGGGAGGGAGGGAGGGTGGTTGTATGTTTAGCCGTAAACTGCTTGAACAAATTTAGCTTTCCAGCATATCTGTTTCAAATCATTGACCAGCATCTCAGTGGCTTTTTCTTCATTGGGGAGGGAGGAATAAGAGGGAATATGTTTCAGTGATACACTGAACTTACATTGACAGTTCATCCACTTAGCTTGTTTTTATTTTTAGAATTTGCTTACTAAGAATTTTGTTGCCAGTGTTGGATCATATGCCTCAAAATAGCTCATGACCCATTACAGTTGTTGAGTTCTCTTACGTGCTTTTTTGTGTTTCCTTACGTTGATATTATTTTGACTTGATGTTTATTGTTCTTTGTTCACTACATATATGTCAATGTTTTCACAGTTTGTGTAGCCTCCCACCTTTTTTTAATAACTTTTTCTACTTGCTACACAAAGAATATATTTATTCTTACAGCATTTCTAATGTTTTTCAGCCCAGAAGTACCCAATGGTCCATTTATTGCAAAAAGATGATGACTCTTTTAATCAGGAGCTCTTGAGAAGTATGGTGAAAAGCATTAAGATGAACGATGTGTATGGACCAATGAGTCAAATATTAGAGAGATTGAACAAATGGCCACATATTAAGAGACAGAGGTAAGAATATGAACATGCCTAACTGGAGCAAGATTGGACAACAATAAGGCTATTGTAATATGAATTATATTTTCATAGTGTGTTTTTTAAAGAAAAAAGGACTGGTTTTGAGCAGTGTTATCAAATTTATCACTTAGTCTGGTGAATATTCTTTTTTGTGATAACTTTCAGAAACTTATTTTAGAAAAAAAAATCAGATAAACTATTTTTCACTTTTTCCTCTCCCTCTCCTCTTCATGTCCACCTTTTTCTTAACTCTGATGGGAAATCAAGTAGGGAGCGTGTATATGTGTGCATATTTTGTTTTTAAATGTTATTTATATATTAGTGTGGGGTTTTTTAAGTTAAAAAAAAAACCCTATACTTGTTCCTATGGTGCATGGGTAGATTGTTTTGTTTGTTTTTAAGTTTCTGGTAGAGAACAGAAGGGGAGCTAAGAAGAGAGGTTAAGTCTCATGTTGAGGAAGGTTTTTTCCATTAGCAGTGGAATTAGTGAAAATTAGTTCTTATGAATTTGTATTTCTTGCGTGGTTTTACTGATTTTTATTTATAGTAAGATATAGAGCACCCTTTTCAACAGCTGCAGTATTGACAAGGTATTTATTTGCTTGTCTGCCTGCTCTTTCAAGATAATGTAGAAATGCAGAAAAGCAAGCTCCTTACCTGTTTGTCAAATTTGGTGGAATTTTGTTGAGTGCCTTAAGTGCACGCTTCACTCTGCATGCGCTTGGTGCAACTTCCAGCACATCAGCGGACACCTTAAGTTAAGGACCTACCACGAGTGATCCCCATATGTGGGGAGTCCAGGGCATTCTCCAGAGGTCAGAAATGACAACATTTTGGAGGTGGCATTCAGGAATTATGTTCAAAATGCTGGTTTTTAAAAATAAGTTATCTCTAAATGCTTCAATCTATTTTTAATATAGATTGTTTTGTGATATATTATTGCAGTAAAGAAATACTGACATTTCTTCTTACAATTTCAGGAGCCTTTACAGAGAAATATTATTTCTCTCACTTGTTGCCCTAGGAAGAGATAACATTGATATAGGTAAGTTTGTTTATAAATTATTCAGATAAACATAGATGATGAATGTATGCAAACTAGTTTTTCAGCTTCCAAAAAAAAAAAAAAAATCTGTAGATTAGGTGTGTGTCATTCAATGGTAAGTGCTGAATAAAAAGGACTTCACAGTTATTTTCCACTGATAAGCGTACTAGCTGTCACTGTATTTGGGTTATGTTTTTGAGCACAGTGTATAGAAGTTGTTTTTCTATTTCTGCAGATGCTTTTGACAGAGAGTACAAAATGGCCTATGATCGTCTCACAGCTAATCAAGTGAAGAATACTCATAACTGCGATAGACCACCAAGTACTGGAGTGATGGAATGCAGAAAGATTTTTGGAGAACCATATCTTTAAATATACCTAGATAAAGAGGTGATATCTGTGATGTGTACCTGTGTAAAATAACCACTTCAGTCACAAGGAACATCTCAGTCTTCAGTGTTTAAGAACGTATGTACAAATGTACTATGGCCAGAAGGCCTTGGAAAAATGAGGCCTATCTACAGCTGTGGAAATGGACAGAGTGAAAAATGGGCCAAATGTTATTTCCCTGTCCCTTGTCCTTTCTGCAAATCCATGTGTAGGAAGGAAGATTCTAAACAAAATCAGTTCTTTAACTTGGGACAACATGTTACAGTTCCCTTCTTTAAAAAAATTAAATAACAGGTGGACAAAAACAATGCACTGAAATGAATGCGAGTGAAGTAAATTCTTCAAAATTTATTGTTTACATAGAATATTCATGATGTTATGAAGAGCATACAAAGTTGTATTATACATATTTTAAATTGTTTATAGTAAGTTGATATTTTTTTAATTTTTTTAAATTACTGGAGTGAATTTTAAATGGACTTGCTGCATAAGCAATACAGTGCTTTTTTTTTTTTCTTCAGTACACTGCTATTTATAGTAACTTGTCCAGTTACTTTTTGAAGAGTGATTTGTTTTTAAAGCAGAATAGAATACATTAACCTTCACCTAGACCGTACTCTAGATACAGGATTTCTCCCATGCATGCATGGAAAACGTATTACCACAGCAATCAGAAGGAAGGTATGGTAAACCTCGGTAAAACTCTACTAATGAACACACTGATGTCTCTGTAAAACACTTCTGTAGAAATCTCTTCTTCCTCTCCTGTTCCCTTCGCTCCCCACTCCCTAGTAGAGAGAAAGCATACTGAAGAGTCCTACAGATTATGTTATGGAATCAGTACATCTCAGCTGTTGGCATTTGTTAATGTGACCTCATTACAGATGTAATACAAAGCAAATGACAGCCTGCAAGAAGTTCTTCGTAAACATGCAGTGTTCAGAGTCTTGGTGGATGTGTTTGAAACACACTAAATCTGGCACGTACATAATGCTAATCCAAAGCTTTTAACTAAAGTAGATACAGCAAACTTGCTACAGGGAATATATAGGGAATGTAACTTATTAGGGCATATTGTGCATAGTTAAATGTACTTGGAATGTTTGGTCTCTATTTCACAGGCAGAACAAATTTTTATTTTTTTCTGTGGAGAAAAACGCTACGTCAGTCCTTGTGGTGGAGTCATGGCTCTTGACTCATGTTTTCTTGTTCTAGAGATTTAAAAAAAATGTTCTGTGCTCTCAGTCACATAGCAACTCCTCAGCAGAAGGTAGGCTACAGAGAAAGTATCAGAAGTCTTGTATAGAGGTGGGAAAACAGACATTGAATTGTATAAAAAACCCTAAACAAATTAAACTGTGCTTTAACAAATAGTTATCAAATAGTGACAAATAGTTACTTTAAGTAATCCTAATGGTTTTCCAATTCTAATTTCTTTTAGTTGTTGCTATCATAATACTTCTAAATATTCAGCTGTTACATTAGATTTTATATTTTGGTCTTGCAACCAGCGGGTGTTTTTTAAGATGTCTTTAGTTTGCAAGTGTAATAATACAGCAATGTTTAGTTAGGCAGAAAGGAGATAAACTTTAAAGCTCACATTTACTTTATTAAATGAAATAGTGAGCCTCTTACAGGCTTAAATGAGAAGTAATGCTGCTATGAAGCTCTATGTAACCTCTTCCCAGACCTCTGTAAAGTAGCAAGAAGGTGCTGCCCTAAGAAAGGATTTAAAATTTGTAGAGCTGCAGGTATACGCTGATGATAATTGTAAGACGCAGTCTTGTTGGATACAGCTTTCATCGGGTAATACCTCTTCTCTAATTTGCTGCTGATTATGTAGCTGACCATTTTGAACATATCCCCCCCAACCCTGAGGTGGAGCTAGCAATGTCACACTTACCAACATTTTTCACATTTTATTTATTTTAACAGTTTGCGATGCTCTCTTTTGTACTGCCAGGCTTGCAAAGTATTCCTCACGCATGAAATACAGCTACTTTTTTTTTCACCCAGGTAGATGGTAAACAGCGTATCAGTGTAGGGTGGATACATACCCCCTTCATTCTTCTGAACTATTGTGAAAAGCACCAGGTTATTTTTTAACATGTTCATTGTAAGTACCTATTAGTGTGCATGTATGCTCTGCTCTGTACAGTAGGTATACTGTATTTACCAAGTAAAAGTTGCATACAGTAGTTGTGTATATAAACTCATACATGTTTGTCCTGTGTGTAAGGTAGTGTTCCTAGCTCTTTGCAGTTCTGTTCCCCATATGTCATTTACCACTTGGGGCAGCCACCGTTTTATAGGACCTGCAGGCCATGAAGGAGGGCAAGTGCTTTTTCCAGAGCTGCCGTGGTGTGTTAGAGGTACTGAGCTATGAAGCAAGCTTCACGCTTCCTATTTTAGCCTGGCAGAAGCACCTGAGCCTGGTCTCTAACCACCTCTCACTTACTAGGATGTAACACTGCAACTGTGTGTGCTGGCACAGGTGTAGATGCGACGCTTGTAATACGTGGCCCGCTTCCTCCATTCTAGTCCCAGCTTAGTTGTAAGTACTTCCAACTGTCTTCAGACTTACAAAGCCAACAAGTTTGCCGCTTCATTCAAGTATCAACAGTCCTGCCGGTATTATCGGAAGAGTATATACTGTCCCATGAAAAGGATTGTATATGTAGCCTTCAGACAAACAGTCTTACTGCGTTCTTGTACCCTCAGAGTGGCACTCCTGAAGCATTGCCAGTGTTTATTTGGGTGTGCTTTTAAATTACTGTATCATGTAGTAGTTCATCAAGTGAAATCATGATACTTAACGAATTGTTTTATGAAGTCTGTTGCAAGTCAGTCCACTGTAGAATAAAATATAGTTGGAATAATGATACACTTTGTGGGAAATTTTCCTCATTCAAGTCATGATGTTCAAAATGTAGGTCCTGAGGTGGATAGTTTTTAAGCATCATACAATTCAATGTTGAAACAATTTTCAAATCTCACTGTCCTTTATTAGAAAAGCAATTTGAGTATATTTTCCAATACCGCAAAGATGGATAAATAAAATATTTGAGACATATTTTCAATTTAAAATTTTGTATGAACTGAATTTTCTCCTTTTGTGTAGTAAATAATGCTTATGTCAAAAACCTTAAACAAAGGTTTTACATTTGCAGTGCAATATATATTTTGCTTTGCTTATGGTTCCACTGGAATAATTATTGGAGATGAAATTCTGAAATGTGAATAGAAATTGTGCTGTTTCTCTGACACTGCTAACTGTTTCCCATTTTGAGAAGGTTTGCTGTTGGTACAGTTACAGCCTGATGAGTTAGACTTGCACTGGTGAATTAAATGATTTGTACCCCAAGAAAGAGAAAATTCCTGCATGTAAAATCTTTGTATAACAAATGGGAGATGCAAATAGTAATGAGAGAGGGGTATTTCTGGATATTATCTCACTGGGATTTAAAAATGGTACTTCGTTAGCCTGCAAGCAGCACTTTTTAAATGAATGGTTGTAGATTTGTAAATATGTAATGTTTAAATTTTATTTACCAAAAACCCAGTATGCTGGATGTTTGCTTTGGTTTGTAGTTCCTTTAAAATATGCAAGTCAGTGTTCACAATGTTAAGGTTTTTTTTTTTTTCTGTCTCACCCAAAAAAGAAGCTTTACAGTGAGTCAATAAAAAGCTTAAAATCTTTCTGGTTATTTTCATTAACGTTTTATTAGATGGATTAGAATGACAGAGATGTCTGCAACTCTTAACTACATTGTTTGCTCACATGAGGCTCACATGAGGCATTGGTAACAATAAACCTTTCAGGTTTGTTGATAGTTGATGTTGGTGGCATTTTTCATAGTGGTTCATAGAAGACAGTGCTAACAACAAGAATTAGTGCTGGATAACATAATCTGTAAATTTCAGAGATTAGTGTGTCAGGATGAGAACAAAACTCAAGCAGTTGAACTTCGTGCTGTAGTATTTCTGATTCCTGGTTTTAGTTTTTATTAGTGGTAATGTGATATTCTAACCCCAGATCCGTTTAGTCTTGTTACGGTAAGATGTAAATCCATATGACATCATGCTTGTATGGCTGCACTGACCGTAAGTTTTAGGGATTGTACTGCAAGATGAGATACAGATTTAAAAGGAGCCGTATGGATAGCTTTCAGGATTGCTCTGCAACAATCAAACCCTGTGTTCTACTGGCAGAAAAAACTTACTGCTTTGCTTTTTCCTTGAACACCTTAGGATTACATTTCCCACAGTGTTAAGAGGGCCAGGAAAAAGCATTTCCTCAGAAGTGCATCGCATGTTCTGTGTACGCTTTCCTGGAGGTATGTGTAGAGTACCAGTTGTGGACGCTTTATATAGTGGCATTCACTGAAAGGATGAAAACTACCTCTGCATCGGGAAGTCATGGCAAACTAGCTGCAGCACAAACCTCGGGACCCGCTGTGCTCATTGCTTATACGGAATTTGAGGGAGTTTGCTTCCGAGATGCAGATGTGTGTCCGCGCAATGATTTTAAGCAGAGGAGTTACGTAAAGTCAAGCCATAGACATCCGATTCTGTTCCCACTTGAAGTTCATTGACTTCAGTGAGTTTGAGCCATTTACTAAGTAATTTAGAGTGTGTTCCTGAAAATACTTCTGTAATGAGTAAATATTCTGTGCTGAAAATTAGCTCCATTAACTTGAGGGTATCAGCCATACTGAAAACTTTATGCACCTGTATCGTATCAGCCTTTCCATGCATGCCTCAACATGTTTGTTATTTCATATTGGTTGCTTCATTATCTGATCTTTTCTGATTCTAAAGAAAAATGGTAGAGCCTCACATACCACTTGAGACTTACTTATTTGTTTTTAGTATGTTAAAGATATTTTTTTTTCTCAGTAAGTCTGTTATAATTCTGGTTGCTTTTTTCAGTAGAACAATTGCTACCTGAAACCCCTTTTGATTTTGATGTATGCTTACATACATCCTGAAGTGTCCAAATGTCATACAGATACTGGGCAGGATATTATCTTGTCTTCTAACATCACGCTGATGATCAAAAACACAAAGTAAAGAGCAAACATAGTGAGCCCCAGTAGTTTGTTCATTTTCCATTTACAGACAGCGATCGAGAGAATCACAAATAGGAGCATGAGAAAAAGGAGAACAATTGCACAAAACAAACCATTGCTGCTGACTGCAACTGGACTGAGCCCATTGAAGACAGAATAAAGGAACCAAGGAACTGGCAAACTGCAAGCAAAGGAAAAGTAATTGCAATAAATGTTTTAAGGTAGTTCATTATTCTGCATCATAACTAAGCAATTTCCCCAACCTGTTACAGAAAAAAAAAAAAAGCATGATTGCATTCAGTATAACTCAGCATAAATCTAAAATTGATGTTGTGCGTGTCAAAAATTGCATTTGGATAATACTTGCACTATCATAATGCAATCCAAGAATCTAAAAGGGGTATTAAAATAATACCTATGAATTAAGTGTCTCAGCATGCTATAATAAAGAAGTAAGTCCTGATGCTTTATTGATTATACAGGCACAGATACTGAGCCTTGATTGCATAGGATCTGAATGCCTGAGTGACTGGGCGAGTATTTCCTGTAAATCTTTGATGTTAGCCAAAGATTTCTTGCATTTTTGTCTTAAAGTAGTAATTTTCTGTTGATTCAGAATTAGGTGAAGATAGTGGACTAAGTTACAAAAATCTGTCTTTCCTGGCTGGGTTGGGTGGGTTGGTTTTTTTGGTTGTTTTTTTTAAAAAAAAAAAACAAAAAACAACAACAACAAAAAACCTCTAGCTGTTTGCCCAGCTGCCCTTCATTTAATTACAGCTAAAATGAAATTAATTAAGACCATGTTTGGAATAAAATCAGCTAGCTTTCTATTTCAGAAGAAATGCATCTTTTAGCATTGAACTAATACTCACCCAACAGTGATATCAAAGATATTGCTGCCTACGGAACTGGAGACAGCCATGTCACCTAGGCCTTTCCGTGCAACGATGACACTGGTGATAAGGTCAGGGATTGATGTTCCTGCTGCCAGGATGGTTAACCCCATAATTTCCTCTGATATCCCAATTGTTTCACCAACCTAATAAACACAAAGAAAGTTGGGTAGGGCTGTTAGTTTTGGAACATGGAATTTAATTGCTCTGTGCAGTCTTTCAGGTTTTGTGCTGTATATGAGTTAAAAATATTTTAATCCCCTTAAATGTCATAGCCTTTCTCTGCTTTATAGGATAAAAAGTTACATTTCATGGTGTATGTTGAGCTCAGATTTGCTCTATAGCATGGGGCGTTTACTCACAGTGTTGCCAAGACTAAGCAAGGTGAAGTCAGGTACAGCGCAGCTCCTCTGTCCTAAGTTCACCTCTTCTGGATGCCTTCTACCTTTACCTCTCCAAATTTAACATCAGCTATGTATGATCCGAGAGCTCTGGGAAATGACAGCCTTTGGATTTATGGCTTGATCGACCGTGCTGTGAATGTGTGATACATCACTAAATGCAAATTGTGGGTCTGATTCTACAAGATGCGAAGTATTATTTCCCAGAATACCAGGTGAACATTAAGGCAACAGGAGCTGAGATCATTTAGCAGCTTCCAGAATCAGAACCTGTATCTTGCTAGAATTTTAATTAGGTAAGGGATAATTATGTTCTGCACAGAAGCATTCATCAATGGAAAGGCAGCAGTATTAAGATAAATCTTGGTGGCACTTTTCCTTTCACTGATGCACAAATTCCCTCAGAAGCTCTCAAAAAAGAACAACTCTCTGTCAAATCGAAAAGAATGAAATTGAAAATTCCCTTTTGGGTTCTAACAAAACAAAGTTTCCACTGTTTTGATGGATGACTGCAGCTGTAATTCATCAGATAAAATGCCACAGTGACACTGTTCCCTCTCTGTCTGCTTGTTCTGAAATGGTCTTATTTGCAGAAAGAAAATAAGCCCCTCACCTGGTGAGCCCACCACACCATCAGGTAAGAGAATACAGCAATCCAGATGATGGATCCAAAAAACGTGATGACAAAGAATTTTTTGGAGTCCTGTTAAAATCAAGTTTGAAAAGAAAAACGTGGAGAAGTTTCAGGAAAGTTAACAATCCCCAATGAAAATTATTCACCTGAAACACTTCACTGTAATCAATTGCTTTAATATGGACCCTGGTCTCTCCAATTGTGTTTGGGTTTTGTCGGCTTGATTAGATGACCAGTAGTTGCTAGGCTTTTGTGGTTTATTTAATTAAGTCTCTGGAACTGTGCTATGCTGTCCCACTCCCTGCAGCATTAACAGCACTTCAAGTATGCAATGACTCTGGATGTGGAAAAATATAACTGGGGACTCCTGCCAAGAGGAAATCTATAGTCCAGTTAATGAATCCAGTAGCAGAAGGGAGAGAGGTTCTTACCGGGTTTCTAACATCAGGCAGAGTGCTCCAGAGAGGGAAGACAATGGGAAAAAGGAAAAGGTAAATCGCTTGTTTTTTCCTAGTTTCTGGCCATTCAAGAGATAAGGGCTCATCGTTTTCATCATCATCTGTGCTGTCATCATCGCTGCCTTCCTCACTCTCAGAGCTGCTGTCTGAAGAGGTATCGCTGTCTGAAGAGGGCTGTAGATCAGAAAAAGAGGAAAAAAAAGAAAAGCCAATATGTTTTAACACTCTCAAGGAGCTGCACAGCATTTGTTCACCAGGGCCTTGCCTTGGCAGAGGTCACGTTTGTAACGTGGCTGAGGGCAGCCACAGCCCACATCTTGCTATTGTGGGACAAAATCCAGGCATACCCTGTCTCAGTGCCTGTGTGTTTTGTTAATTAATTTGTACCGGTTAACTAGAACCAACTTTTAGATGGGGTTTTGACACAAATGAAACATTTACTGTCTCTTTGAAAACCCTTCCTCATCAGAACAGCCAAGTTACGTGAATCGAAAGGAGGGATTAGGGAAACAAAATAGAAACACGCACTGCCGAACACAGGACAGGCACCTACTCCTGTCTTTCACTATGTCGGAGTAGCCCTCTGACCTCGGAAGAGTCATTGAGGCGAAAATACTACACGGTATCAGTTGGTGTCATATTTTGGACCTGATTTGTGTTTGTAAGTCGAAACATTTCAGCTAACACCGTAATGTATCTCATCACTACACGCACGGTCTGTTTATAGTGGCCAGTTGTGGGAAATGGGTTGGGTCCTATCCCAAAAGCTCCAGAGAGGGAAGAAGGAAAGTACATGTGACATTTGGTCTGGACCGAGCGCTTATTGCCTATGATACTTATTTCATATACCTGTCCATCTTGCGGTGCGTCTGCCTTCCGTTTGTCTTTGCTGGGTTCAGAATCGCTGGCGGGAGTTACCTGAACGGTGCTTGGTGCCTTCTTTTCCTCTTCTGCTAAAAGTGATAAGAAGGAACATTGGTTTCAGCCATGTTAGCGTCAGGTAGTCGCCTTCCCCTTGATCAGCAGCGAGGTTTGAGCTTCCTGCAAAATTGTGTGGCATGTCTTAAATGCAGTTGGATTGCTTAGGTTTTCTGTTTGTCCCCTCTGTCTTCTGTGGATTGCGGTTAATAAAAGCTGGGCAGAACCTGGCCCACCTGGCATAGAATGATACCTTGATGCTCCTATGACCTTCTGTCAGGAACTGCTGGAAGTGGTACATGCATAACAACAGGGAAACACTAATCATCTGATCTGCAGCTGATGAGTGTTTCTTGGTCTCAGTCTGGATTCTGAAGATCTTATTAAAGCCATCCTTAAAAGCCAGAAAGGATGTAAAGCTTTGCTTCCTTTTTTTTTTTTTCTTTTTTTTTCTAGTAGAGCATGGCATTCTCCAGGGAGCTGATATTCTTTGAGGCTTCTGAGAAATGACTGTTAGGTGCTGCCAGACTTTAATCCCTAATCATTTGGTAGGCATTCAAATGCAAATAGGAAAGTGCTGACACATACAAGGAAATAACTGCAACGTCCTCTGTGCTGTTCCTGTGTTAACCTGCGTAGCCAAGAGGAACGCAGAGACCTCCGTACAGAATAGCGCAGAAATACGGGTAACACAGAGCAGAGGTGCGAGCAAGTGCCTGGTGCTCTGCTCCATCACAACAAGGGCCCTTTTCACACTGCTGCAATTTAGGTTAAGGGATCCCCTCCATATAGCCAAGCCTGTCAAGTCAGTGGGATCGTGTTATCCCATGAACTGTACCGGGATGGGGTATCTTACCCTGAACTGGGTAAGCTGATCCAGTACAGTGCCTCGCAACTGCACCAGGGAGCAACTCTAGAGGGGAGATTTTTAGAAACATACATTTTCAGTGAGTGCCACTCGGGATAATGCTTCTTTCGGACCTGTGCACAGCTCTATGCACCAACAAAGTTTGTGGAATGTGTCACAGGGTGAAAATTCATAGTTCAGTGAAGACAAAGTGGTGTCGATAACTCGCACCGAGAATTTACTTGTTTCTTAAGCAGTATTTTCCTCAAGTTTGGTCTCATTCGCATAGGTGAGGCTCAGTGTTGTGAGGTACTTCGGTGACTGCTGTCCCGCAGCAGGGTGCTTGTGGAGGTGGGACCTTCCACACAAAAGTTTGCTTGATTTTCAAAATCTCCAGCCTCACTGACAGCACAGACCGGTGCTATAGCACAGGCTAGCTGCTGCCTCTGAATCAGCTCAGAAAGCCTGTGTATGAGCAGGAAAAAAAAAAAAGCAGAAAACTATTAACAAGGAGGATGCACAGCCCTTTAGAATTGTTATAGACAAAGTTTGTGCACTTTTTCCTCTGTGGAGGAATCTTTCATGCTCTTCTGCAAGTCTGCCAAATTTCCAAGCTAAACCAAAGGTCCTTTGTTTTAAGGAACACCTCATTTGCAGGGTCTACCAAAGATCAGCAGCATAGCAGCACCCAGCTACTGTCTGTAATGGTCTGATTTCCCCTCTTCCACCTTTCTGGTTGCAATTTACGCTACATCCTTGTAGCACTTTGTGTTTGGATGCTATCTCACTAACCACTCCTAGACTCCTGTGGGGATGGCTCTTAGTGCCCGCTATCAGCATATATCGATTGAATTCTGCTGCATTATTATAGCAGCTACCTGTGACCAGTAATAACAGAAAATTTGGGTTAGACCACAGCGTTTCTTTGCCAGCCTTTGGGTGTTGAGTGCTGGGAAGGCGAGGGATTGCAGTGCAAAACAAGACAAACAGCACTGACTCTTCTTGCACTCACCTTCTGGTTTTGATCCTTGAGTCTCTACTTTGGCCTTGGCTATGTTGCTCAGGATGTTAACCCTGTCTTTAAATTTTGCTGTGGATGAGAAGGATGCATTCGTCAGCAGCTGCCAGCTTGCAAAGCCCCCTTTACCTGCCTCCCCCCAACACACACGCGCCCTCTCGCCCCTTTCCTCATGCATGGCTTGCAGTCAACACCAACTCATGAGTTGCCTTTCTGGCTGCGGCCCTGGGTTTTGGCTGCTGCTAGTTGATCGTAGCTGTTCTATTTAAATGCTTAGTACTAGGGCAATGATGCCAGCAATTTAACATGTAACCAATACTTCCATGTTTCAAAGAGACTCTAGAGGGAAGAGAAACCCTTTCCAGTTCAGTAATACAGGGGATATGTGTACTTCATAGGAAGCAAATGCAGAAAGAACAGAAGAGGAGTTTTGATGCAATACCATTTTGTTCCCAAAGGGCTGCTGATTTTTTTTTTTAGGCTAGATTATGTCCAAGCTAAAAATGACACCTTCCTTCTGCCATGTGGCTGTTGAAGAGGCTTTACTGTGTTGCTTGCAGCCTGGCGACCTGATGGTAAGGAAAAATAAAAACCTTTTACGTTCCAGTTATCTGGAAAATGATTGATTTCTCTAACTATATGTGAGTGTCTCCTCTGCTGGAGTTGATCTAAATTCCTGGTATCCAGGTTCAACATGGTCCAGGCAACCCAAGAGATCATCTTCACCACTGCAGTGTCCAGTACTATATTTCTGGGACTTCTGAGACTTCTTCCACTGCAAACCGTGCTCTGCTCAAGCTGAGCGGCTTTATTATTGTTTTATAGTGCACTGCGAATCTGTGTGTGTCTCCATAGCTAGGTGTTGTGCTCAAATTTCTTAACTCCTACTCTCATTGAAGGCGAGCAAGCATTGGCTCAGAGGAAGGCCTCGTTCTGCTCTAATCTAGATCCTCCGTGAGCTGCCTACTAAGCTGAGGGGTCCAGGGTTTGCACATGGACAGTAGTCACAAGAAATTGGCCCTGCTATGTTTGGCTTGTGTGCGGGACTGTAAATTAATGTCCTCTGAAAGTTTTATTACACTGATTTACTGTACTATTGACTGTGCAACCAGAACGTGCTGTTGTCATTTGCCTCGAGGGCAGGGCTCTGTCGCTTTATTTATCACCGTGACACTGAGTTAATAGAAATAGCAGGTCCGAGGCCCTGAGCCATGCAGGCAGATCCAAGCCGAACCTCGTGAAAATCAGTAGACTCTGGTATACGTCCAATCACTGGGACTGGCTCAGACATTAAGGCTTTTGGGGATGAGTCCTGTTCTGGTGTGATTCCTGTTGCCGTCTGACAGAAATGTTTTTTACCGACTGGGATTTCCACTGAACACTGGAATGGCTGGAGAGAGAGGAAACAATGAGCTCTTCTCTTTTGAAAGGCTCGCTGGAACTTAAGAGCCTGAATCTTCCACGCTCCTTGTCAATATTGAAGCCTATCAGAGGGGATGTGAAGCACTTTGCTTCGTTCCCCCTCTACGGATGCTAAGGACAAGCATCGCAAGCACACCCATCGGTGCAAGGCAATGAAGTGGTGACTTTTTGCTCCTGGTCTCCTTTAACCACTGGACAAACACATCTTTCTGTTCAGCTTTTCCCAGAAGCTGTTGCAAAAGCTTCTGGCAGCAGGGTCAGGGTGGTCAGGCTCAGCCTGAAAAAGATTATATGAATTCAAGCTCCTGGCTCCGGGCCCTCACCTAGGCTGCAGGCTGTGAGCGCCGACCTGAGCAGAGCCTGCGAGCATCTCTCTGTCAGGATAAACAGATTAAGTCCGGGCCACTATGCAGTTCTCATGAGATAAGCCTCATTTAAAAAGGTGTTAATTCCTCTGACACACATTTCATGCAGGATGGACTGAGATTGGAGGAAGAGCTGGCTTTAAGCTGGCCAGATCTGCAGGTCAGCATGGGGAGGAAGGATATCCGTCAGCTCAGCCCTTGCTAGCGCTGGGGATTAGCTGAGCGGGCAGCATGCTGGCTGTTTCTTTGCTGAAGACTGCGGTCCCCTGGGGCATTTGCTGTTGGTAGTTCTGCCCACTGCTCTGAGACCCCATCACCTGTGTCCGGGGGCCCTGAGATGATCTTCAGGAAGATTCCTATCCTATGGATTGGCCGCATCCAGGCTGGACTTAAGGTGGCAACTGAGCTTCTACCTTGAGTTTGGCTCTTATGTTTAATTCTTTGGCTCTAATACTTAATCTAACAGGACTAACTGACAACAGGAACAGCAGGAAGGACTTTTTTCTTTAAAATTTGGCATGAACCTGGAGGATTTGGGGATGCTGCAGTCTAAAAGCAGCCGTAAAAAAATAATCTCCTGACTCCTTTTACCCCTTGGTATCATGATTCTCTTAAAACAAGTGATTGAATGCTAATGAAGCAAGGAGAAACTGTAGCTGTCTTCAGTCTTCTAGCTCAGCTCTAGCCTGCAACACTGCCTGCTGCTCTATTCTGGTCTAATTTCCAAAATCATTAGCTTGTTAACTGAGGCGTGCTGAGGGTAGACAGCTCTGATAACCTTGCTGCTGGAGCCTTTTTCTTCATTCAAAAGTAAAAGCAGGCTTCTGTCCTCTTCCCTGTATGACTAGAATTTAAAGAATAATCTGATGGTAAGACTGGAGATTCAGAAATTAGAGGGTTCCTCAATTTTTCCAAAATCCTTCTTCTCTTTAATTCCCCAGCAGTTCCCTCCGGCATCTAGACAGAAGATCTTGAAAAGATCTCATGCTCTGCTTCTACACACATTCAGGGAAAGTGGGGGAAAGACCAAAGCTGCTAGAAATTCCTTATTTAAAAAAAAAAAAAAAAGGCACTTTGAAAATAAAAGCTTCTATCAAAAACATAACTCAGGATGCAACGTAAATGTTAGAACTTCTGAAGTAAAACACCTAGTCTCCTGTAGACAGAGAAAAGGACTTAAGTAACAATCCCTTCCTAACACAAAAAGAAAAAATAAAAATTCTGAACTTAATCCACTGTTCAAATGAGAAATTTTGTTTCACACAAAAGGTGTTGCATTAGGAACAGTGAAACAAAGTTTGTATTTCAAACTTCTACTTTATTTCTAAGGCCTCTGCCTCTGGAAGTTGATTTTGGAGGTCCAGTGCTGGCAGTTTTGCCACATTTTGGACCCTTGCTGCCCTGAAACCACTTCTGCGCTGCCTAAATAAAATGCAACCGCAGCAGAAAGAAGGAAACCCTACAGAGATCCTAATTTCAGTAGGTTAAGTTAGGACTGCTGAGCAATAGCTGGCAACCTTCTTCTTTTGTAGAGTGTTCTTTACCACAGCCTCTAAGTGCTGATGCTACAGGCATTGGCAAGAAAGAACAAGGACCCTTGAGGAAAGATAAATTGCTTTGGGATCATCTTTTATGTTGCAACCTAATTACAGAAATGTGCCCGGTACAGACAGTGCTGCACACGCTGCAAAGAGAAGGACTTTGTTGGTGATGGGCGGGAGCTGGGCACCCAGCTGTCCTGAGGGTACCGGAGGGCTGCAGTGCTGCTAACACAAAGGCTGAGCTTGCAGTCCTGAGAGGTCTTGGCAGGGTCAAATGCTTTTTCAGAGTCAGCCTGGGGAAGTCACTTCATCTGTTTGGCCAAGATCCTCAAGGCACTTAAGTTTCTTAGTCTATTCATAAATGATTCCTTTTCTCTGGCTCCCTTCTTTTAGGTATGAATTTGCCAGGGTGAGGACCGTCTCCTACCAGGTACACAGCACTTGGGACACCGGCTCCTTGATTTTGAGTGCTGTGCTGTTGTAATCTCAGTAATTTTCTTTATCGTTATCTTTTCTAAGGAGCTGTCTCCGTTCTGGTAGTGTCGAGTGGAACAGGCACGTACCTGGGGCAGAGGTTTGGCCCTTAACTCAGTGGCATTGTTATAGTAAAGGGTCTAAGAAATAACAACCTTTTGGAAAGACTACAGCCCATCCTCGCATCGTCCCTGTTGTGAATGTTAGCCTTGCCTAAGTGCATGTGGTCACACTCCCATCTAGTGGCTGCCACGTACTGAGAAATAACTCAAACTCCGCCTAGCTGAAATGAGAGGGAAGTTGTCTTTCAGAGAAGATCTAAACTGCCCTCCCCGTCCCATTTATTCCATATTCACCAGCTGTGGTAATAGCAGCCTCTCTAGCAAGGCTAGCAGCTTACAGCTGCATTGAACACCCCCAGCAGTGTACTCTGGGCTGAGCTGGGGCAGCGCTGGAGGGCTCTCCTTGGCCTGCGTTGGCATCCTCAGGCCCCCCACAACTTCTTCTGAGGTCCCAGGGTTTCTCCGAGCTGAGGACACCAGCCTGGACCAGGCATGTGTGCTGGCCTGGGGTGGGCAGGTGCTGTACAAAGACATTTAGAGGTGCAGGAAGGATGACAAGGTGCTGGAGGGTCTCTGAGTGGCAGCAGTCCCTCAGGTCTGGTACTTTCTGATGTTAAAGGCAATGGCAAGTCCTCTCCTAAGTTTTTGGTTTTATTCTTGTGCTGTTGATACCATCTTTCGGGGGGGACAGGAGGCAAGGGCAGTAGAGCAAAACCCTGATGAGTCTGGCTCTTGTTAGGCTGCTGTCAGTAATATGATGGGGGCCTTCACTAAAATCTATCAAAGCGGACACTTATCTGTCTTGCTGTCCTTATCAAGCCTCCTTTATTCCCTGGATCAGTCTGTGCAGCTGGGATTTTGATCTGGAGAGTCCTTTTTGTAACCTCTGTGATAGACACGAGAGGTGTTGAGCTGCTTAGCTTCAATCTCTCTTTGAATGGACAACAGATAATCTCTTTAGAACAAGTAGGGCAGTGGAGGGGCAGGGCATGTGCTGAGCTAGGAAAGAAAAACCTAAAAAGTATCTTGTTTTAACATGATTCACCATTTCTTGGAAAATGAACCTCCACACTCTGTTTGTATTAAAATTGATACAAAGCAGCACATTAAAAGTTTGTGTACAAAGACCCTAGGTCTGTCTGGAGATGTGGCTTCTCTGCACCCTGGGCAGTTGAAAAGATGTCTTAGTCCTGAGCCGATCAGCCCTTGGCCATGGGGAGTTGGCCCATTGCCTCCAAAGTGCTGTGGGTACAGTTTACCGTGGCAGTGATGATACTGCAGCGTTGCAGGTGGGCTTTTAGAGGTGCTCGGTGTTAGTCTAAATCGCATATGGATTGGCTTAACCATCATAATTGGAACCTGCCATGTGTTTTAGATCTCAGCGGGGATTTTAACCACTGTCAAAATGATAATTCTTCAAGGGTTTTAACCTCTTTTTCCCCTTCTTCAGGTTTATGCCTTGTGAGGGGCTGTGTGCACAGCTGGGGAGGTGCATAGGTAATGAGCTCTCCCCGTGTTCATTTTCCCATTATAAACGAGGCTGATAGGTCGAGCAGCTCTTTCTTGAAAATGTAGTCAGCACTGAATGCTGCTGTTCCAAGGCTGCGGTGAGGTCTGAACTAAGAAGAGGAAGGAAGATGTGACATGCTACAAAATGGAGGAAGCTTGTAACTCATGTTTGCTGCTCCTGCTGTCAGAGTGTCAGCAGAAGATGGGGGACTGCAGTGACCGCCACTGCTTGCAGGGACCCCCAGCAACAGCGGTTGCTCCACATGTCCTCATCCACCCTCAAGCTGCGGCTACCACCACAGCAGTAACCAGCTTGGCACAGGCAAAGTAGATATGGCAGGGCCAAAATGTGAGGTTTTTGTCCTTGCTGGCCACGTGATTGGAAGGGGTACGTCCCACTATTGCAGAGCTCCCCCCACCTAACATTATCTGTGATACTCAGAGCTGCATTTCAAGGATGATCCCCAACACCCCAACACACAAAGGCTGTGTTCCCAGCTCAACTGCTCTGTGCTCAGGGCTGCACACCCAAGTCCCTCAGATGTGGAGCGTTCACTCACCTCCTGCCAGGGGGTCCAGGGTGTGGATCATGAGTTGGAAGATGGTGCTGCGCATTTGAGAGTTGTGTAGGGAGGCTGAGCTGCTGCCTCGCTGTAAGGCTGATGCAGGCTATGGAAAGGTACAATGCAGCGGTCAATAGCGGTTTCCTCCTCAAAACATCTCCATCGTAGGTTTGCCTCTGCCCTGGGATTGCATTTATATGGAGGCTGATCTCCCCAGCCCAAGGAGCAGCCTCAGCGTGAATTTTAAACGGCCTCTGCATTCAAGTTCACAGGATGGCTGTCAGGATCAACTGTTCACAGCAAGAGACACGCTCTTGAGATAGGCCAACCTGTCCTTAGATAAATACAATGGGCTCGCACAGACCCAGCATCAATACAGTGGTGTTATAAATTATAAGAATCAAAGTGTGCAGTGCTTTTAGTTGCAAACTTGTTAGTAACTGTAGATTTATATGCTGCTAAAAGGTAATGCTACAGTCATGCCAAGTGTCCTGACTTAACTCGAAAGCTCCGGTGCTCTGTTTCTATAGCCAACACCAGAGTCCTAATGAGCTTTTGACTGAATGTTTGCTAGTACAGGTAGGTTAAGTGCATAGAGGGACAAGTAGCATCCATATGAGGAAGCTAACACCCGTTATTTTACGTGCGTACGCAGCCACTACACCAGACAGGCCTCTCCGTTCAATGACTGCCCAGCCACGGGGAAGACAAAGGGTCAGCAATTTAACCAGGAGCAGAGGAATGAGCTCTTCAGTGTTCGCTATGGGGAAGGACAGACCCTACCAGCCTCTGCCCTGGGAGCTCAGGAGGAAAACTGGCCATGAAACCAGGTAAGAAAAGGCATGCTCTGAATTTCTCTATGCCTGTTTAAAGCATAGCATGAATAGTACTCTGCTAGTCAAATCCACTTGGGAAGCCTTAGCTGTCTCTTAATTTTTATAACAGTTCCTTTGAGGACACAGCTCAGCCAGGTGTCCTCTTAAGTAAGCTGTGGATATTGTGCCAAGCAAGTTCTTTGCACAAAGTAGGATTTGGTCCAGGTTTCTTGACACAGAAGTTGACACCTTTATTCATGACCTGACATGGGGAAGGGTTCAAAATACAATGACTTCAGATCCCCGTAAAGTTGTTTAGACCTACCTGCAGCTTCCTCCCATCTCCTGGCTGCTTTGTTCCATCATCTGCAACTGCCCCACTGCTTTTCTGCATGCAAGCAAGAACAAAAACGGTTGAACACCACTACTGCTTCACTTGCTTTTTCAGGATATAATGACAGCTCTGCAGGCTACTCTCTGTGAGAAAGTGGGACAGCTAATACAGATGACTATGCATGGAAGCTACTGAAAGAGCTGAAGCCATGTGCTCTGCTTAAAACCATGCAGCCTCAAAGAGAAACAGGATTCTACCTACAGGTCCTCAGTGATGATGCAGGTACCTGGATGTGGACTCAAACTGCCTCTACCATCTGATTCCCGTAGACATAGGCAGCCCCAGATTTCAACCCCAAACATCTGTATCCTGACTCACTTTCCAGCAGAGGCAGAGTGAAGGTGCAATGGAGTATTTTTTTCCAGTGATCAGCATTACTTTCCATATAGGTAATTTATTTTTCCCAAGGGTTAGGTCCAGCAGCTCTCTGTCATGCTATATGTTATACACTATATGCTAGTGAGAGTTCTCTGTAAACTTAAAGTGCAGGGGTTTTTTTCCTTCAGTCTGAAGGATTGGATTCAGTTTGTGATGATTGGTGATGTCCACAGTGATGATGTGTATAGCTGCAGTATCCTGCACATGTATCCCACTGGAATGCAACACAGGGGCTTTCAGGACTCCCAGCCATGGGCACTGGCTGAAAGACAGACCAGGAGGAGAAAAGCAGAGCATTTTCTCAATTCTGCACCACTTCAACTACCCTCACCCCTCTTCCTTTCTTTCCTTAAATTATGTGGAGTGCTGAGACCAGAAGGGGCAAGTACCTGAGTGCCAGTGACACGCACCTGACTAGTAAAGCATGCCAGTGCCAGAGGACAATTTGAAATCTAATGGTCTCTGCTCGACAGTTGGCAGTAGCACAGGTCAAGAGGACAAAGAGGCAGTAGGAGAGTTGCGGAGGGACCGAGGAGGAAGAAGTGGGCAGGCACACTCAAGAAGACAAAGCCCCAAGTGTTCTGGAGACCACGTCCTGGCCTGTTCTGCTAGTCTGAAAGGGTAATTGGCTCTGGGGATGCCTTCAGACACTGTCTTTGTGTAAGGAGTCAACGCTTCCTTCAAAAGACAATGAGTGAAGGGCCCTGGTCTCAAATCTGGAGCGTGTAGTTACAGCCACAGACCTCCCTGTCTGAGCACCAGCGTCACACAGAAACATCTCTGAGCGCACACCGCTGCAGTCAGTCCATGGAAATGGGATTTGGGCATTTCAATCTCGGTGCCAAATGCTGACTGGGAGAAGTGGCAATGGTTGCTAAAGGCTGCCAGATCCCCTTCTGTGCTGCAGATTGGGTAACAAGTGATACCACCAGCGTCCCAGCAGCGCACCCAGCTTCAGAATGGGAAAAGAGAATTTCCTCCAACATCTCTCATCTGCAAAAGGATTGGACAGTGCCTCCCACCAGAAGCCTTTTTTCCTCTATTTAATACGGAATTGTCCAATCAAGTTCCCAGACTAACAACACGTTCCTGCAAGTGTTTTTTTTGAAACTCTTTTACAACAACGGAGTGAAGCAAAATCCCACACATGTCTTTGAAAGTAGATAATTGACCGCAACTGATATCTTTAGTAATTGCAAGGGTAGAACTCCCTTTTAGTGGTGTTCTCTAATTTCTTAGAATCTCTACTATCTAGATTGCATTTCCCTCATTTTATAACCATAATTTTTGAGCAGTACCTGTATTCTGAGGTTTTGTTTGAATATGCACTTTGTGAAGGAGATGCCATTTTTCTTGGCGGTTTATGCTAGAACGAATTATTTCCAACTTGCCCTCTGAACAATAAGGACACCAACCTTCCGTATATGCTCTGCTGATGCTGCCTGCACAGCATTTAGCTTCTTGTTCAGCTCCTGCTTCACCCATTGTTCTAGGTACACGTTCTGTTTCATAGTGAATACATATATGGCATAGGCAGTCAGTAAAAGGAGGCTTTCCCACCAATCAATGACACTGTCTAGGAAAAACAGGATGAGCATCAGTAAGTCTAGAATGTAGAATGAGATGTCTCTAAATAAGGGCCACCATGTCAAGTGGAGTATCTCCCTTGAGAAGAGGGCACAGGTGCCAATGACAAAGAGGATATTAAACACTGCTGAGCCCACAATGGTACCGATGCCCACATTGCTGTGTGAGATGAAGACACCTATGAGGGAGGTGAAGAGTTCTGGTGCTGATCCACCTGCTGCCATGAAGGTGGCTCCAGCCACATCTTCAGAGATCTGCAACTTCTCTGTGATCACTCCCAAAGCAGGGACAAAATACTCATCACACACTATGGCCAAGGCCACAAATACATACATCATGCCAAAGATGTGAAGTACAACCCACCCTTGCCTGCGTTCTTCCACACTGAATAGGTCCTCGGGGTATTCTCCTTTGGACTCGTATGGTGGTTTTTCATCTGGGTAGCTTTCGCTGACATTTTCTCGGTGTGGTGGTGTATCCACTGATGTAGTGATGGGCACAGTTGGCTCAGGATCCACATATATACAGTGCCTTATTTTGGGGGCTGCCGTGACATTGCCTGTTACAGCAGTCTTGTTCCTGGAGAGGTCCCTGGAGGTCACTTTGATGGGGTCCGTGGGCTGGGGTGCTCTTTGTGGTGCTGGAAGGGCAGAGGGGCTGAACTGGAGCTGATAGAGAGAGAGGACCAACACTATGGCAAGCAAGAAAAAGATTCGGTTCCGTTGTAGCCGCCTTCTCCGTGGTAAATGCATTTCCTGAAGGTTCAAAAATCAGGGCTGTGTCCAGAAGCCACCAAAGACTTCTCTTGATCAAGAATTTGCACTTATATCCACCATTGGAGCTCCTAGCTGATCTTAAGCATCAGGAGTGAAACTGCATGACACAAGGCGTAGAATCCTGCAAAAGAAAATCTGGTGTAAAAAATAAGGTACTGCAACTTTCCACCATTTGGGCAGCATTACTTCACTGACTGCTTTTCTATTTTTCAATAAAAAGAAATGGACTTAAAGGTGTAAAGGCAGATCTAGATTCAGGTTTCAGTCTTTTTTTTTTTTTTATGACTGTAGGCTATGCTGATTTATAAACAAAGGTTCGGCTTAATAGAGAGGAGTTGGCCGAGACAGTCCAATCCAAGCTGAATTCTGATTCCACCTAATGCCCACATCCAGGAGCATTAAGGCTTGTGTTTCTACTTGAGTCCAGTTGTTATTCTGTAATATTAACAGTTGTGTCAGTGCTCTGCAGGAGGAGAGGATATGGCTTCTGTCAAGGAACCTGCTTTAAATTGCTAAAAAAGATGACACTCTGAAGGCAAGATCATGCTGTTAAAACCTCCCTCCTAACAGACCAGTTATTCACCTAAGTAACATCAACAGGAGGATGAAAACCATTTGCTAGTTCCCAGCCACGCTGCTTTGTGGCTCTCCAGCCTTGCACTCACACAGAATACAAACCAAGCAATGGTGAGCTTTTTTCTTTCAGTTTGAGAAGAGCATGAGGAAGATACGGTTCTAGTAAAACTGAGGGTGCTGAGCATCCATTTGTTTCTATGACTATGTCTTTTCAAGCCTTTCTGTAGAAATCAGAACTGGCAAAGTGGATTTGTAATCATACCTTTTATTAGGGGGTAATTAGCATATCTTGCATAATTATTTGAACAGCATTTAGAAAGGGAGAGAAATTGTAAATGCCAGAGTGACAGGGCCTGCAGCTGTGACAGTGTGGAGGCAGTGACTTGGGGCTGGACAGAATTTACCCTTCAGCACTGCTTGAATATTTTACCTTAGACTATCACTCTTCGTGGATTTTTTTTACCCCAGAGTCGGAATGTTAAAATCATAGAATCATTTAGGTTGGAAAAGACTGTTAAAATCATCCAGCCCAACCGTGTTACGTTGTTCCTGAGCTGGATGTGAATGACAGTTTTGTAAGCCATTCTCAGATAAGCTCTTCATAAGCAAGTTAGCACACACTTACCCTCTTGTATAACACCCAGTGAAGTAATCAGCCTAAATTTCTTGCAAGACAGTCATTATTATCTTCTTTTAAATAGTTGGGAGGATCACTAAGGCAACAGTAATAGAGGGTCATGGGAGTACCTAGATAAATAGATGATAGAAGCTTTGCTTTTCATATGTAAAAGGAACATAAACATGCATATGGCAGAAATGTGTAATATGTATAACAAATTGCACATTATTAGAAAATAACCCTTCCTAACAAAGGTAAGAGAGTAAAAAGAATGACACAGAGAGAACAGAAGACGTATACACACACTCCTATTTAAACACTGTTTTTACTTCTCCTCTGCTTAAAAGACCTTTCGTAAGCAGAAACATATCCAAAGCTAGGATCAATTGTAAGAACTCTCCAGCCTTTCATAATTCCTGACCATCAGCCTCTTTGTTTCTCTAGACTTGTAAGTTTAGCAATTCTTTTACAGGTCAACTACTGATCAACTCCTTTCTCACTGGTTGGACAGTCTCATTCATAAGAGATCTGAAGCAATCAAATGAACCTCCACAGCTTACCTTCCAAAGACCCTGTCCAAGAGGAAGAGGAATACCAAGGGTTGAGCGTAGTGCTGGAAGCTTCTTTGATACTTAACAGCCAGATGGGAGATGCTGTTGCAGAGAGAGGCAGATGAAAATGATCCCATTTTCAGGATGCCTCTGCTGGCGGAGTTCTAATACAAGAGAGGGTCAGGTGTGAAGGACATATTACTGGAAAAATAGCCAATCCAGTTTAATACCTGCAGTCCCTAAGAAGATTAAATAGTATTGTATAGATTTGGGTCTATCTCTGAAGCCAATATCTTTGCCTGCTACTACAGGTTATTCTCAGTATGAGGGCAGGAGATTATCTCCATTACAAACTACCAGATGAAAGCACCGTGACACATGCATCATTCGCATGGCAGCTACGGAAGGGAGCAGCGGGGGTAAATCGCGCTGCTACTCTGCAAGGAGCAGTGGTCACTCAAACAAGACAACTTGCACGTAGCTTCATTTTGAGGCATCCCGTACGGCTGACAGGCCAGATGAGCAGCTCTGCTGGCCTTTGCCACAATATGAGTCTACTTTGCAGTGCCAGAGGGAGGTCTAAAACTCGGTGTCTCCTGGAAAAATCCCTCAGCTGCTGCACCGCGATCACTGAGGCAGAGGGCTGCTGCAGGGCCCCGTGCGCAGGCAGAGCAACCTGAGGATGGTGAACTCCTTTGTACCAAATGGCACTGATATGGTGCAGCTCCACAAAGGAAGAAATTATATTCCTGGCCAAAGATTTGATGGTCATAAAAATCCGATCAGCAGATCAATCACAGGGGAATTAGAACATGATGATTTGATAATTTTAAAGCAATCTGTTGTCTGAACGGACAGTTTCACAGGGCTACATCCAAACTTTGCAGAGGAGTTAATTGAACCCCCCCATCCTTACTCCCACATTTACAGAACTGGGAGAAGGCGGTCCACTAGTCAACTGGAATGCTTATTATAGAATCATAGAATTGTGTAGGCTGGAAAAGACCTTTCAGATCTTCAAGTCCAACCATTAAGTTAACACTACTAAGTCCACCACTAAACCAATTAAGGGTATTTTTTTTGGATTATTTTTTAATGAAAGTAAAACTAGAATAGAATGATTAAGGTTGGAAAGGACCTCTACGATCATCAGTCCGTCAACCCAACACCACCACGCCCACTAAACCATGTCCCAAAGTGCCACATCTGCCTGTTTTTTGAACACTTCCAGGGATGGTGACTCCACCACCTCTCTGGGCAGCCTGTTCCAATGCTTGACTACCCTTTCCGTGAAGAAATTTTTCCTAATATCCAATCTAAACCTCCCCTGGTGCAGCTTGAG